ATAGTACAGTAACTTCCAGGGAGATCAGATTTCTTTTTATTTCTTGTTAACAAAGCAACTTTTTGGTCAGTGCAAGAAAGTTTGGGGCAAAATGTCATGCATACTTTGTATGTATGTATGCAGAAAGCTGCAACTTTGGAACTCCAAATAGCTCATCAATATCTGAATATATCTCTGAATACAATGAATGGCTTTATGAGGGTGGTTTCGGTTTGGTTTGATTTGGGCTTTTTGTGCATGTGTGTTCTACCCATCTCACTCCATTGTGGTCTGGCAAACAAGCCACAGGTTTTACCAGTCTTCTCTTTTAGTTGACATGATGAATTTTTTATTTCATCTTTATGGAGATAATTATCTTCTCTAAAATACCATATTGTAGTAGTATGGATAAGGCTTTATATTTGGGGATTTCTTTTACCTAACTGGGGAGGTCTATTACAGGTATCTACATGACTGGAAAAGAATTGCGTCAGCATATGCTTCCAAAGACAGCACCTTTGCCTGAAAAGCTGAAAATGTTCAAAGAAGTCCTTCTGCCTCGTCATCCTCCTCTCTTCCATGAATGGTTTCTTAGAACTTTTCCTGATCCTACTTCATGGTGAGTGACTGGAATTGGGTTAGTTCAAGAATACTTTGTGTATTTTCACTAAATGTTGCTGATTCTACTGGTAAAGACTGATAACCCAAGAAGTGACTTAGACCTATCTGGTTCTCATTTCTGCAGGTACAATAGTAGGTCAGCCTATTGCCGTTCTGTTGCAGTTATGTCAATGGTAGGTTACATACTTGGTCTAGGAGATCGTCATGGTGAAAACATCCTGTTTGATTCTTTGACTGGTGAATGTGTGCATGTGGATTTCAACTGCCTTTTCAATAAGGTGAGAAATGCCACTTGCTGAACTTGCTTTTTTTTTTTTTTTTTTTTTTTTGCATGCAAGGAATTCACAGATTTCTACTGGCTGCATGGTTGTTTTTTTTTCCACTTCTTTTACTTGAATATATCTGTTGTGTTCTCTCTGAGTCTGTTTCTTGCATATATTCAACAGTTTGGGATATGTGAGGAGTATATGATTGTTGTATATGCTGCATTAACGAAAGCCAACTTTTTGATTTAGCCAATATCAGACGAGCTTATGTGGATACACTGAAATAGCCCAGATTTTAGAATATTCATATTTTGTAACTCTCCTCTCTCCAGTACCACCCTCCAAACAAAGCTGTAATTGCTATATTCAGAATTCTGCTGCTGTGAAATGTTTCTTAGCTTTTCTCACACAAATTCAGCAAAAAATTCCAACGGTTCTGTAAAAATAAACAGCAGAAATTGTGGCCAGAGCAGGATTTGGAGTTTTGGTGTTTCTGTTGAAAGATACTTCTCGTGTTGGACATGTGCCCCTTTAAATTCAAGTAGGGTAGAGTTATTGTTAGTTCTCCAGACTCTTGATCTGAGCAAGTATCTCTTAGCAGCTAGGAAACTGCCACTGACAATAATGGGGGAAAAAACCTGAACACAAAGAAAATGTTACCCTTTATTTTAATAATGCTTAAAACACTTAGAGCATACCCTCTTTTATCAATGTAAAGGGAGAAACTTTTGAAGTTCCGGAAATTGTCCCTTTCCGTCTCACTCACAATATGGTTAATGGAATGGGCCCAATGGGAACAGAAGGTCTCTTCCGAAGAGCTTGTGAAGTCACAATGAGGCTTATGCGTGATCAAAGGGAACCTCTAATGAGGTAGGGCAACTGGTTTTGCTACAAACTCTAAAAAAGCTGTCTGTAGTCTAAACATCTGAAACAGTAACTCCTAGTGAATATGCCAGTTCCAGCACATGCCTGTCATGCAGCTCAGTCTTACTATGCCATTTAGTTAAATATAAAATATAAATATTCAGTGCTTACTTTAGACTCCCATCAGTGTTCTTGTTTTGAAAAATAAATGTGTATCTTATCATTTTTAAACTTTCTTTATTTAGTGTCTTAAAGACTTTTCTCCATGATCCTCTTGTGGAATGGAGTAAACCCATTAAAGGGAACACAAAAGCCCAGGTGAATGAAACTGGAGAAGTTGTCAATGAAAAGGTTAGTTTAAAACAAGCATAGCATTAAGGTATTCAAATGTCCCTAATGGCTGCAAGTTACGTATTTTCTAATTGCAACTTTAACTGTCTTGTTTCAGGGTTTTTTGTTTTATTGTTGCTTGGGGTTTTTTTGTGAGGTTTTTTTCTTTAATTTAAAAATTCGTGTGGTTGTTTCTTGATTAGCTCTGTGTTCATCATTTTTATCCATAAAGAGACTATTTATATTGACAGAAAATGTAATTTAGCTGCTAAAGAACCAAACAAAATAGAGCCTATATGTCTTTAGTACTGCTAAATAAAGGACAATATCAACAGAAGCAATGGGATAGGTGAGACTCTTGCTACCCCCCTCAATCTGACTGTTGCACTGTACTCCAGATTGACAGTGATTGTGACATCTGGAGTCTTTTCCATGCATTTTTTTGGTGCTTTTCATGTGTGCCTTGTTACGTGACAAGGAAGACTTGGTTAAAAGTAGGATTACATATGTACTGCTTCTTTTGTAGCTGCTGATAAATTGTTCATCCAAAATACAGTTTGCACAACCTGTAATATTTGTTCTCTTTCCCCTTTTCAAAAGTTCTGATTTGCTGCTTCTTGTTTTAAAGGGAATATTTAGTGAAAATAAATATCTGTAATAGCAGATAAAACTTAGGGAGTACTGAAAAACATGGGAGCTAAGATAAGGGCAAGCTACGATACTGAAGCTATATAACAAGATAGAACTTGCTGTTTGAGCACAGAAAATCTCCTGGCCTTCAAACAGTTACTAACCAGGCTGTGTCTACAGAACTTTTATTTTAGTTACAGGGCCTCCCACATAGTTTTTACCTTAACTATTTTATATTGGATAGTTGCCAACATTATGCTTGAGCTTTAAAGGAAAATGTGTGTGTATAACTGGTATGAGCTATCTACTTTAGTGGGGCCCAGAACAGCTCATTTTGAGTTGTTTCCCACACAACTTGTTCTTAGACAGCTTCATTTTTAGTTGCTCATAAATTTGGCCTGAATGTTCCAGTCCTAGGTATTTTCACGATTTTATCCAGAATTCCAGGAAAAAGGCTGGGAAATTTTTGCATTTATTTGAAAGTAATTGTATGAAATAAAGCATTCTAACATTTTCAAATACGTTTGCATAGCTTTTTCAGTCTTCTCTGGTAAATTTTATCTGTAAAAATGTAAGGCAATATCTATTACTTAACTAACATTATCCATTTTCAAGAATTATTTTTAAAAGCAGGTATCCTTTATTTTCAAAATAACTGATGTAGACATCTGGGTTTTGTATTAAATTAACATATAGATTTCAAATGCATCCCAATAAATACTTATTTTAAGAAGTGGAACTTCATGGATATTAGTAAATCATTTTTTTTTTTCCTTTCCTTTGTTTTCAGGCCAAAACCCATGTCCTTGATATAGAACAACGACTGCAAGGTGTCATTAAGACTAGAAACAGAATAAAAGGATTACCCTTATCTATCGAAGGGCATGTTCATTACCTTATTCAAGAAGCAAGTGATGACAACCTCCTCTGCCAGATGTATATGGGCTGGGCTCCATATATGTGAAAATTGTTCATTTTGGAGCAATTGAACTATTCACAAGCCATGTAGCTATAATATTCTTGAAGTTATTAATCAGTGGTAACTGGTTACTTGTGTTGATTTCTGATTTTAAGCAGCAGAACAATCTTAGGCTCAATCCAAAATCTTTGTAAAATATATGATACACTTGCAAGTATGTTAAGAATACACTCACACATGTGTAAGGTGTTACAACTTATGTTTTGTATACATATAGAAAACAGTACATGGGAACTGCTTAAAAATTAGACTGCAAATCTCTGCAAGTTTCTTAGCCTGACTATATGAAAAATTTTCACAATGTTGACATAATGCACTCTATAAAGTACTGTATATTTTTGGAAAGATTTTTCTTATCTTACTTAAAGTTTTCTACTGATACGTCATAAAGGATTTTTTCAACTTATTTTACCAATAGTTCAGGTATTTCTAAAAATAATTACTGTTTTGTTTCAGCACTAGACCTTGAATTTTGTTTAACTTGGACTTCTTTTTCCATGTGGCCTTGCTGTATCTATGCTGTATTTTTGGATCTTAAATCTTGCCATGAAGAAACTGATGCAGTGTTACAATGTACTGAAACTTACCTTCCTGAAGGAAATGACACAAAGCTGGGAGTTAGAGGATCCTGAGAGTATGAGTGTCACGCCACTGTTACAGCATCTGTGACTTTAACGTATATTCAGGTGCCTGAGTTCTGGACATGGTCGGGCCTTCCCTCCTTCTAAAAAGTGTGGCTGTAGGTACTATTTTTGAGACTCCATATCACAAAAAGTGTTTTGACATGGACAAGAACAGACTAATTTAGCATGGTCAGAAGGCTGGTTCTAACTTACAAGTAATGCTTGCTTCTCTAGGCATCCAAATTGTAGGGAAAGCGACTGGGGGAGGGGCAGAATAGGGAATAATTACACTCTTATCTTACAGTCGGTTATCATTAGAATCTTTATGCTGTATCTTTGTTTCTGTTCTGAGAGACAAAGAAGACTCTTTTAGTGTTTTGATGACAGTGATGCTGTAAGTTTTGGTTCAGCTGCACTCCAGCCACGTTGGAGAGTGTAAAATTAAAGAATGTATTTACCCTGGGTTTGTTGCTCTGGGCCATCAGTGAGTAATTTTCCACAAGCGTTATCGCGCTCTCCAAGTCGTGAGGGTTTGTTTCTAAACCAGGCCTGCGGGCGGGGCGGTTGGGTCTGAGGGCGGAGCGCCGCTGACGCGAGGCAGGGAGGGAGGGGGAAAGGGAGGAAGGGGTGTAGCCAACGGCCGCGCCGCTCTGCGCGTCGCTCTCGATGGTCGGCGCGGGGCGCTCTGCGCGCCGCTCTGTGGCGCGGGCGGCCCGGCTGTCAGAGCGGCGCGCCGGAAGGAGGGCGGAGCGTGGCCCGCGTTTGTTTGGGTCCGGTGGAGCTGCGAGGGCGGCAGAGCGGTGGCCATGGGGGTCCCCAAGTTCTACCGGTGGATCTCGGAGCGGTACCCCTGCCTCAGCCAGGTGCTGAAGGAGCATCAGGTAAGATGTGAGCGGAGCGCCACTGTCTGCCATGCGCCGGGGCGGAGGAGGGGGTCCTGCTTGGCCCCTCGACGGGGTGAGGGAGGGCGCCTGGTCTCCCCGTCCGGGCTTGCCTGGGCCAGGCTGGCGCGACTGCGCCGAGGCCGAGGCCGGCTCGCCGAGAGGTGGGAAAGCGTAGGGGGGGCGGCTGCGCCTCAGCGAGACCCGCATCTCGAAGCGGCCGAAAGTCGCCGGGGTATCGGCGGACTGGCGGTATCTGGGAAGCGGGCGAGGATTTCGGTGCTCCCCGAAAACCTCAGTATCCTCCCTAAACTCGCCGTGAGCGCACAGCGGTGTCGGGAGCCTGCCGGTGGGGGCCAGTGGCGCGGATATTTGCGCTCTTTGTTACACGCAAGTAATGTTTTCGGAAGCACCTGAACCCGAAAGCGCGCTGTTTGTCCAAGAATCGACCCGACTGGGTTCGGCTTCTGTGGCCCCGGCCCGGTCGGCTCTCTGCCGCGGCTCCTCAGCACCCGGCGGCCCGACGCCCCTCTGTACCAGACGATCGGAGTTGCGTCGTTACCGGGCTCAGGAAAGTTATTGCTGGTGACGAGGAATAGCAGAGTAATGACAAGGGGCAAGTTTTACAGCTCTACTGCATTTCCTTGTTGTTGTAGGAGTGGGACATTTTCTGTTAGTAGCAAAACCAGAGGAGTATGTTAAAGCCTGAGAAGGGAAAGGCTCAGATAGTGCTTTTAAGAGGGGAAAATAAGTCTTGTTTTCAGAGAAGTCATGTTTGGTATCAGTCAGACGTCAGCTCTTAACTTTTCATAATCATTTTCAGTTAGCGTTATGGATATTGTTTAATAGTCTGAATAAGGGTGCTCTGAAATGAGTTGGGTGATTGAAGGCATGTTTGATTGTTAGTATGTTGTTCCTAAACAGCATTTTAAAGGATTAAACAGATGTTGTATCAATATATCTAAGATGTCCTGCTCAAGTCATACCAAACCTGGATGTTTGACCCTTCTAGTTTCAAAGTAGTTTTCAAAGCTTGGGTCTTTGTTTATGGTTTGTTGGATTTCCCAACTATGTCTTATACTGTCTGTGTAGCAAGGCGGCAGCAGTGTATGCTGGCTTTTCAACTGTTTTGTTAAAAACCTGGGCTGCTCACTGAAATTTGTGCTAGCTTTAAACTTGTGCTGAGGAATTGTGGCCCACTGAGGAGTCAGTCTAACGAGGGGATTGTATCCATGATGCTTTCTGAAAGAGGCTGTTAGAGCTCCTAGAATAAACAGAATGCACAGCTCAACCTTACATGCTAATGTCATTGTCTAGTTAGTCTTTCTGAAGACTAAATGATGTTAGCTTATATGGAATTCTTGCTCTCTAAAACAGAAAACACCTAGATTGTTATCTGTGATACTAAGCTTCAGCAGTAGCACACTAGAGCACAAGCCCTATGCGGAGCATCTGAGAGAACTGGCGTTGTTTAGTCTGGAGAAGGGAAGGCTTAGGCTAGACTTTATCACTCTCTACAAAATACGTGGAAAGTCAGTCTCTTCTCCCCAGTAACAAGTGATAGGACAAGAGGAAATGGCCTCAAGCTGCGCCAGGGGAGGTTTAGACTGGATATTAGGAAAAAGTTCTTCACAAAAAAAGTGGTCAGACATTGGAACAGGCTGCCCAGGGCAGTGGTGGGATCACCATCCTTGGAAGTGTTCAAAAACAGTGTAGATGAGGCCCTCAGTGGTATTATTTAGTGGGGAACTTGGCAGTCTTGGAGTAATGGTTGAATTTGATAATCTTAAAGGTCTTTTCCAGCCTAGTTGGAAACCCTGTTCTTCCTTTTCTCTGCCAGACAACTTGAATATACCGACTGACAGAAACCAGCATCTAGATTAGGTTCTTTGTTTGCTATTACAGAAAAAAATACCCAGAATAAAAGGCAATACCTATGTAAAACACATAATGATTTTTAAATCATATTGTAGCCATGCTTCTTTAAAGTTCATCTGTTTTCCATATATATGTTGCATATAAAAGCTTTAGTTTTCAACTCTTTAGAATGTTGCCTGTGCAGTGCCCCACTCTCTTCTTATCTGAAAGTGGTGCCTTTGTGGCTGATGTGGCGTGTGAGCATGTTGAGAGCAGTTTGGATACTGAATTTGACTGCAGTGGCGATCATTATGCACAACAGAAGACTAGTTATTGAATGTGACTTAAGGTCCTTCTCAGTCCTGCCTGTTGTTTCTTCTCTTCATCTGCTTTCTGAAACAGTTGTTTCTCTTATGTCTGGATGTTTAAATACAAGTCCAGACTTTCAAAATTATGTAAGTCATGAGTAAATCATGAAAAGTTAGCAGTGCCTTTTTCAACTTGAAATGACAGGAGGATTTTTATGTATAGTCATATTGGTGGATTAAAGAATAGATTAGCTTATTGTAAATTGCTGTTGTGCATGTTGGGGGGATTTTGGTAACAAAAAATGATAAATAATGACTCTCTTGCTGCATACTTTTAACAGTGTTTCTGCTGTATGTGTTGCTTGTGTACATCTGTTCAGCTGACTTGCTTCACTGGGAAAATAGAAATATCAGATTGCAAACCAGTCAAGATATTCTTAGCCCATTGGTGTACAGTAGGTTCCAGTGCTTCCCACCGCAGCTTGTTTCCAGACTTCATTACTGTCATGGTTTAAACCCAGTCAGGTAACTCGTTCACTCACTCCCCCCCTTCTTTCCCTCCCCCTACTCCCAGAGGGACGGAGAGGAGAATCGAAAAGAATGCAACTCCCACGGGTTGAGATAAGAACAGTTTAGTAACTAAGGTATAACACAGATCACTGCTGCTACCACCAATAATAATAATGATAAAGGAAATAACAAGGGAAGAGAATACATCATCTCACCACCAGCTGACCGATAACTCGCCCGACCAAGCTCTGACCAATACCTCCTCCAACCCTGCAGTCTCCCAGCCCTTCTGGGTAACTCCCAGTTACCTCCTGGGCATGACGTGCTGTGGTATGGAATACCTCTTTGGTCAGTTTGGGTCAGGTGTCCTGTCTCTGCTTCCTCCTGGCTTCCCCTCCTCCCTGGCAGAGCATGAGGCTCACAAAGTCCTTGGCCAAACCAAAACATCGCTATCAGTTCTGTTCCCAGGCCGAAAGTCAAAACACTGCACTGCACCAGCTACCAAGAAGGAGAAACATGACTGCTACTGCTGAACCCAGGACATTATCCACCCCTTATTCCATACCATTCACGTCATGCTCAGATCCCCCATTTTCAATATACTCTTATCTTAGTGCATGGACCAGTCCCTATAAAGCTGCTGAGTCCATCTGGTCCATGACGTCAGGCTCCATCTCTTGTAACAGTCAGAGTAGGAGAGACTGTGTGCAGTGTTCACACTCGTGAATAACTAGGGCAATAGGGTCCATTGCTAAGTCCACCCCTCGATCATGAGTCCATGTCTATGTTGCATCTCTGCTCTGATGGCCTGAAGTGCCATGGGCCCACCAGGCTTAAAATAATTCACTGTCCCCTTAAGCAGTTTCTGCAGCTTGTTGCTGGGGACTCCATACAGCTGCCTTCCATCTCCGATGCTTCCAAAGCACTGGAGGGGCCCAGTGGACTAGATACTTGCCCATACTGTCCCACACACCCTGCCACTCATGACTGTCCAGCCTTGGAGAAAACCTTTTGGTCCCCTTATATCCTCGTCTAACCCCAGACAAGACCCAAACCTGACTCTGCTTAACTTTTGAGATCAGACAAAATGGTGGTGGGTAGAACACAGCCTGTGTGTGTGCCAACATGCTGATCCCCATCACAATCAGCAGGCAGGTCCCAAGGACACCCAAAGGCCATTCAAAACCTTCAGAACTCTCAGTTGATGCTGCTGTACTTGTCACTGGGGCTGGTGTAGCTGCTGTGCTTGCCGGCTCTCCCACCGCCAGCTTCTCTTTTCCTGAGTCCAGCTCTTCCTCCTCTGCCTTGCTGGGAAATGCTGCGTGGTCTCCTGCATCCTCCTGGGGCTCGGCGGGCGGCTTCCGGGAAATGCTCTCGGCCGTCGTGGGGCTGGGCTCGGCTGCGGGGCTCGGCTCTTCCGCGGGGCTCGGCTCCTCCGCCGCCTTCTCCCGCTGCTCGGCAGCCGCCTCCTTCCTCTCCTCGACCGCCCCGACCTCCTCCACCGGCAGCCGTCCCCTCGCGGCCTCCGGCCCCGCTCCCGCCGCCGCTTGGTCCCCAGGGCCGCTCTCCCGGGCCGCTTCGGCTGCCGCCGGCTCCCGGGGCCGCTCCCCCTCTGCTCCCCGCAGCCTCACGAAGATGGAAAGGAGGGTGAGGGCCAGGGCGGTGAAGAGCAGCCGGACGGCCAGGTACAAGTCCACGGCCACGTCCGTCCCGCCGTGCTGCTGGAGCCCGCCCGTATTACAAGCCATTGCCATAAAGCACAGTGAGACAAGAACCTTAGCCCAGGCCCCACACTTGATAAACACTAACACAGCAAATACCGGCTCTAAGTAAGTTACAACATTCTGAAGCTGTGAGATCAACAAGAACAACTCTGAGAGCCAATAAATCAGCATTGTGATGAGTGACTATTAATCTGGTCAGATCTGTTGTTATCTCAACCCTTCGTGGCCCACGTTGGGCGCCAAAAAGAACTGTCGTGGTTTAAACCCAGTCAGGTAACTCGTTCACTCACTCCCCCCCTTCTTTCCCTCCCCCTACTCCCAGAGGGACGGAGAGGAGAATCGAAAAGAATGCAACTCCCACGGGTTGAGGTAAGAACAGTTTAGTAACTAAGGTATAACACAAATCACTACTGCTACCACCAATGATAATAATGATAAAGGAAATAACAAGGGAAGAGAATACATCATCTCACCACCAGCCGACCGATAACTCGCCCCCCCAGCCCGACCAAGCTCTGACCGATACCTCCTCCAACCCTGCAGTCTCCCAGCCCTTCTGGGTAACTCCCAGTTACCTTCTGGGCATGACGTGCTGTGGTATGGAATACCTCTTTGGTCAGTTTGGGTCAGGTGTCCTGTCTCTGCTTCCTCCTGGCTTCCCCTCCTCCCTGGCAGAGCATGAGGCTCACAAAGTCCTTGGCCAAACCAAAACGTCATTGTTATCAGTTCTGTTCCCAGGCCGAAAGTCAAAACACTGCACTGCACCAGCTACCAAGAAGGAGAAACATGACTGCTACTCCTGAACCCGGGACATTTACTCTTGGCTACACCTTGAGCAGTGATTACGTTGCTTCAGCTGTCACCAAGTAGATACTAACTCTGGCTTTTGTAGATTCCAGAATTTGACAACTTATACCTGGACATGAACGGCATTATACATCAGTGTTCCCATCCAAATGATGATGATGTTCACTTCAGAATCTCAGAAGATAAGATTTTTGCTGACATTTTTCACTATTTGGAAGTACTGTTTCGCATCATTAAACCAAGGAAGGTTTTCTTCATGGCAGTTGATGGAGTAGCTCCAAGAGCTAAAATGAATCAGCAGCGTGGGAGACGTTTTAGGTGAGAATATTTGTTCTGACTCTGTCTTGAGGAGAGTAAATGCTTAAAAAAAAATACTAAACGGTATGCCATGAAATGGTTGATGAGAAAATGAACATGAGCCGGCAGTGTGCGCTCGCAGCCCAGAAAGCCAACCATATCCTGGGCTGCATCAAAAGGAGCGTGACCAGCAGGTCGAAGGACGTGATCCTGCCCCTTTACTCTGCTCTTGTGAGACCTCACCTGGAGTATTGTGTGCAGTTCTGGTGTCCTCAACATAAAAAGGACATGGAACTGTTGGAACAAGTCCAGAGGAGGGCCACGAGGATGATCAGGGGACTGGAGCACCTCCCATATGAAGACAGGCTGAGAAAGTTGGGGCTGTTCAGCCTTGAGAAGAGAAGGCTGCGTGGAGACCTCATAGCAGCCTTCCAGTGTCTGAAAGGGGCCTATAGGGATGCTGGGGAGGTACTGTTCATTAGGGACTGTAGTGATAGGACAAGGGGTAACGGGTTAAAACTTAAACAGGGGAAGTTTAGATTGGATATAAGGAAGAAATTCTTTCCTGTTAGGGTGGTGAGGCACTGGAATAGGTTGCCCAGGGAGGTTGTGAATGTTCCATCCCTGGCAGTGTTCAAGGCCAGGTTGGACGAGGCCTTGGGTGGTACGGTTTAGTGTGAGGTGTCCCTGCCCATGGCAGGGGGGTTGAAACTAGATGATCTTAAGGTCTTTTCCAACCCTAACTATTCTATGATTCTATGACTGGGGGAAGCTTTTTTTCATGAAATTTTCTGTGAAATAAATCTCCAATGGCTTCATAACCTGTGAGGGTCTTTGGTATCTTTGAATGCTAATTCTAGACATGCTGCTTTGGTTGCTATATGGTTGCTATTATATGCCATTTTCTTTGACAGTCATAGAAGAAATTAAGTTTCTAATGAAACTCTGGTTTCCTTTTGATACCAGTTAGCAAGCTAGCTCAGATGCAAAGCTGCAAGTAGATTGTACATTGTTAAGGTTTATATTAATGTTTTGGGGGATGTGGAATCTTCTTTGAAGACTGCTATAAGGAAAGCAAGCCCATGGTCAGACAGTACTGGAATGGTGAGTGAAAGAAGAAAACTGAGGGGAACGGGCAGGAGAAAATATTTTCAAGCTGCAGAGTTTTTTTTGAGGGTTTGGTTTTGGGTTTTTTAAAGGAAAAAAAAGGAAGTTGAGAAGAAGAGGAGATTAAGAAAGAGTTCTAAATAGAAAATTAGAGTGAGAGAAGTGAGAGAAGGACAAGAATCTAAGGTATTGGTGGCTTTTCTTTTTCTGGTTCAAAAGTGTTTATGAAATCCTTGGCCAAGAAAGTCTAGGATATTTGCTTGTTTCTCCATTACTCGTGATGATAACTTGTTCGTTCACCCCTTCTACTCTTGTGATATTCCAGACTTGCTGCTATGTTTAACAGTGTTCTTAGTATTAACTGTACAACTATTGTTCCGATACAGTGTTTTCAGATACTTAGATCCTGAGTGTTTCTACTGTTTCAACATTAATTTGTGTTTACTATGCTCAGCCACTGAATTATCATTTTGGTAATCTAAATATTAACTGTATCTGAGTAATGACACATTATCATCATTACTAGGGAAAAAAAGTTGCCTATTAGTTTTATAGTTGTGTGGGAAACAAGATCATACTCTATCTAGGAGTCAAATTTCTCTCTCTCCTTTTCCTAAATACTCTTTAAAAAATCAACTATGTATATTTTGTCAGTAAAGCTGTACTTTAAGATATTAATGTTTGAATAAGATGATTCTTTCTCTACTCCACTTTTCCAACCTTGTGTTGTTTTAGATCAGCAAAAGAGGCAGAGGACAAAATAAAAAAGGCATTAGAAAAGGGAGAAACTCTCCCAACAGAAGCCAGATTTGACTCCAACTGTATTACACCAGGTAAGAATATTTGTCAAGTATTTAAATTTAAATGTTTAGATTAATGGCTTTGCATCTATTTCCCTATCCTAAGGCTTTTTTTTTTTTTTTTTTTTTTTAATTGGAGGACAAAATTGATGCAGACTCAAGTTGAGAACAGAAGTTTAAATATTTCTAATAGGACTGGAATACTGTCTTACTCTATAACTTGTTTTAGATTGCAATGGAAAAGATGAATCTTCTTATGGAAAAAAAGCAACTATTCCCTTCATCCCATGCAGAATTTTTACTTCTTGGGTTTTGGGGAGTTTTTTTGGGTTTTGTTTTGTTGCGGGGGGGGGTGGGGAGGGGGAGGTTGTTTGATTTTGGGTGGGTTTTATTTGATGTTTTTCTTGTTTTGGTGGTTTTTGTTTGGTTTTTGTGTTTTCATTAGTAATTTATGTAAATACAGTTTTGAATGACTAGTGAAAAGTTTTGTGTGTAACTTTGATTTTTGTTTTCAGGAACTGAATTCATGGCCAGATTGCATGAGCATCTTAAGTACTTTGTAAATACGAAGATTTCCACAGACAAATCCTGGCAAGGAGTAACAGTTTACTTATCAGGCCATGAGGTCACTGTATTTTGTTAGTATTTTATTTTAAATAGATGTTTATTTTATAGAAAAATACTTACTGATGAATTTGTTGTTGCGGGGGGGTTTTTGTGCAGACTCCAGGGGAAGGTGAGCATAAAATTATGGAGTTCATCAGATCAGAAAAAGCAAAGCCCCATCACGACCCAAACACAAGACACTGTCTCTATGGCTTAGATGCTGACTTGGTATGTGAAAATAAAATAATACAAACAACAGAAGTTTATAAAGTATATTTGATGTTTTCCTAAGTGCACAGGGTTCTAAAATGAATGTTATTAAACAAGAGTGTAACTTCGTACTCTTGCAAACTTTTAAATTTGTAGTTAAACAGAGCAGCAAAATTGCTTTATGCTGCTCGAATCTTGGATAACAGTAAAAAAAAAAAATTAATAAAGATCTTTCTTTATAATAGATTATGCTGGGATTAACAAGTCATGAGGCACACTTTGCACTCTTAAGAGAAGAAGTCAGATTTGGTGGTAAAAAATCTCAAAGGTAACTGATTTAACTTCACTTTTTATATATAATGAATTTAAATCTAAAATATACTGGGTGACTAAACCATTTGTTTGGTTTGTTGGTTTGTTTTGTTGTTTTTTTTTAATTGTTTGCATACTGAATAAAGTCTTTGTTACTAAAAATCCATGAAATCAACTTGTTAAATCATGCACTTCAGTGAGTTTACATGGGGAAAGTGTGTGCTGTGAGGACAGCTCATGACAAAATCCATACAGCTTTGGTCTGCTGCGCTTCTTTCTTCATATTATGAATGGAGAAGCCCAGGCTATACAAACATTGTTTCCTTAATTGTCTTATGCAGATATTAACTTTTTAAAATGTATTTATATCTTTGAGGTTTTGTGAATATAAGTAAATTACTTGAACAGTTACTAAAATAAACTCTCTTAAAGGGGTTGCCTGAATGTTTTTATTGTGGATTTGCCCATTTGTAGTAACTTGTGTGCTATCATCAGTCTGAACAAGGTGATTTGTTCTCGAACTGATCATGTGCATGGAGTTACAGGAGAATTACTTTTATAACTGCTCCTGTGACTTAGGTGCCTTCTTTGAAGGACCATAAACATGTATTTAGTGGATAAAGGGAGAAGGTGGGAGAGACAGAAACACACTTTTTGATACATATAAAAAAAGTTTTTGGATAAGATCTACAAATGTTTAGATAAATACATGATTTTTGCTGATAAGGTATTTTTTGTGAAGGACAAGATGATGCACATCAGAAATAGGTATTCAGTCTTCTGCAGTCAACTTTTCACTAATACTCATTGTCTTGGCAGTGTTGGTGTGTAACATTGTAATGTTTTTAAAAGACCTTGAGTGTAATCAAAGAAAAATGTCAATTTTCTCTTTTTTATAAAAATAATATAAAAGTGTGACAACTTTTCTGAGGAATGGGGGTTAATTAAATGAAGTATGAAATCAAAGGGAAGTTGTCTTCCCCCCCTGCCTCCCTCCCCAGACATTGTTCCAGGTTTGGCTCCTGTTGAAATTTGTGGATAATATTGCTCATTACAGGAATTTACTTCTGGAAGTTACAGGAATTGGCTTCTGTCAGTATTGTCACTTGTATGAATACTTCCAATTAGAAACCTGAAAATGCTAAAAATACATGGAAATTAATATCTGTCAGCAACTTCTTGATTGGGAGAAATTACTTGTTTTTTTCAGGATTTTCGGGTCTAGTGAATGAAGACTAAGGGGCAAAATGTTTCTAGAGTCTTAGAGCACCAACCTGGATTTGGCAATGTTCTTGAATACCAATATGAAAATTATATTCTAAAAGTGACAGAATTGGGCCTAAACCTCTTTGTAGTTTAGAGTTCATTTTAGTAATCTTCATCTAAGCTTGTATATCACACCCATCTTCCTCAGAGGATTTTGGCAAAAATCTGCTTTGTATGTGTGAATACACAGGTATTTCTTTTGGTTTGTCATTGGAGGTGGTCCCAGCTGGTTATAGTATCTACAAGGTGAAATAGTCCTTTTTGAAATTAAAAATACATCAGTCTTGAGCTCATTAAGCTTTTGGTGTAGGTATTAACTGATTTTGGCCTAATGTTGGAGCACATATTAAGTAATTCTAGTGAAGAGGAAAAGAAGACAGAATATATATTGACTAACCTATGCCATAAACAGTAGGTTAGTAATTTTTTTTGGTGCTGTGTTGAAGCCACCAGATAATACATATGTAGCGTCTTTAATTTGAGCATATTCTTTTCTTACAAGAAGCATTTCAAATGATTGCAAATGTAAGCAGCATATTTAAACATGAATCTCTATACTCTGTATGTACGCAGACTAGTTCTGATATACCTTAAAGTTTATTTGCTTTGGTGCAAATTTAGGTTAGGCTGTCCCTTTTTGGACAGTGTGATAAATACTTGGGAAATAGTTAATGAAACATGGAACTTGACAAAGCTGCCCTGCTTTCTCTAAGCTAGCTGTTTTCCATGCAGTGCAGTCACATTTGTTTAGAAGGTTCTGCACAATTTTATTTAACCAGATGAATCCTAAAACAGATTCAAACAAATGTTTATATATTTCTTCTGCAAAGATTTAACCCCAGTAAGTTTACTTGGTTTTAGGTAACCTGGGACTTATTAAATATTCATATTGAAGGTGTGTTTATAAATAATTTAACTTAATGTTTTGAATAATTTACAGAGCATGTGCCCCAGAGGAAACCACGTTTCATTTGCTGCACTTATCGCTTATGAGAGAATATATTGATTATGAATTTTCACCTGTAAAAGTAAGTTTTAATGGAGCTGGGACTGAAAAAATGTGTGAGGTCTTTTTATGCAAACATCATAATAAAAATGATACTGCTGTGTTTTGAGCTTTTTGTTTGTTTTTTTCTTTTCTTCCTCCACCCCAGGACAAGATTTCCTTTGAATACGATATTGAAAGGATAATAGACGATTGGATCTTAATGGGTTTCCTTGTAGGAAATGATTTTATTCCTCATCTACCTCATTTACACATTAATCATGATGCACTGCCGCTACTTTATAGAACATACATGACTATCTTGCCAGAACTGGGAGGTAAGAATACTTTGCACAGTTGTAGAAAGTAGAAATATTAACATTCCTGCCTTAATATTTATTGACCTTTTTAACCATGTTAGGATGTTTAGAGTTTCTAACACTTTTTTTAGACAGCCAGAAAAAATGCATTTAAATTGAAATTTTAGAATTGTTCATTTAAAACACGTACTTTATTTTCTTAATAGGTTACATAAATGAGAATGGACATCTGAATTTAAAACGCTTCGAGAAATATCTCACAAGGTTGTCAGATGTGAGTAACTTCACAATTGCGCTGTATAGATAGGTATAGTTTGTTGAATTTAACCTCAGTGTGGTGCCCTAAAATACACCATGCTGTAGTTTTAATGAATTGTTAAATGACTTAACATCATTTAACGTAACTGTTAAATTAGTTTTACAAGTGGTTCAGTCAACTGTTTTATCATTTAAATGATGGGGTCCAATCAGTTTCTGTCTGAACTTATAAGAGGAAAAAGGTTGAATTGTTTAATCTGTCCTTTAGCTAGTATCTTGTAGTAGTGCAAGTCAAACAAGGATTTGCCTCATTTGAGTAATGAGGGACAGTACTGTGCAGATGTGTTCTAGACAGCAATATTCTTTGCTTCCCTGCTGGTCAGTTTCTTGTGGGGTAAGCTCTTGGAGAGCAGTATTTTTTTGCAAGTTTTTTATGAAGATCATCGGTTAAGAGTGATGAAGCATTAGTATCTCTGAGGCAGTCATCACCATTCTTCGTTAACTCACTGGCATACAGGAGGCAACCTATTAAGTGCCACTGCAGTAATTCATCCTAGAGATGAGAAAAGGTATATATAGGTCAGATAGAAATGGAAAGATCTTGGCCTTCTGCTGAACTTGGAAGGAGGAAGTTCATCTATGTGCTTTCGCTGTTTCAGCCCTGTCTTCTGATTCTTGGATGGAAGTATGAAAGTGTTGGGTGTGTGGCACCCAAACCTTATATATGTTTTACTGCTTCTAGAGTTAATAGTGAAATGTGGAAGTTATCTAACTACTTTTATTACATAATGCTGCCTTACTGAAAGAAAAAAAAATATATGGCTTAGGTGTATGTTATGTATCACTAAGAAAAAATATTTTTAATGCTAATCTATTGTTTTAATTGTAGCTCTAGGCCAAACTGTTCATGTACAAATGCCTCCAGGTGTAACCTAATGCATGTACTATGAAAATATTGTTAATTTAGCACTCTAAATTTGGCATCCCTCAGATATTTCTGAACTTAATTTAATCTTCCTGTACAGTTTGATCGTGAGCACTTCAGTGAAGTCTTTGTAGACCTAAAATGGTTTGAAAGTAAAGTAGGCAATAAATACCTCAACGAGGCAGCTGGTATTGCAGCAGAGGAAGCCAGAAAAACGAAACAAAAGAAACAAAAGGTTAGTATTCTGCATGTGCAATTTTGGAGCTATGAATGTTACTTATTGTAAATCAGTAACTTGATTTTAGACAAATTACATGTCATAAACCTCTGTGATGAGGTTTTTCTGAGATCAGAAACGATAGTAAAATATAACATCTGAGGAACTACCTGTATGCATTGCTGGTTGTGAGTGATGAAATGGTTAAATCGATGTCAGGTTCTTAGGTTTCTTGAAGTCTTCTCAACCCATTACTTAATGCTTTATGTCAATTTATCTCTTCTCAACTTCAGCAAAACTTACTTTTGAGTGAGTTATGGTCAAACTTGCTATGCTTTGTAATTTTACTTTACATAGCCTGTTGTCCATTTTATATATTTCAGATACACTGATAGACCATTCATGCATGTGTTGGTATTGGGCAACTATTTGACAATGTATAGATCAATAGGAATTTCATTGGTGTGAACTATCTGAGATTAAACTTGTAATTCTAGCTATAGCTAGTTAATGAGGAACAGCACCTTTCTGTGTACCTTGACTCTGCCCCACTGTCATGTTGCTCACCACCACCTCCATTGGCTATCTTTCAGTATATGCCTTCAGCAGAGTGTAGAGTAGCAGCAGGAAATGCCTCCAAGATTAATCTGTCACTGGGTTAAGCAGTAGCAGTCATTTTTTTCCTTCTTAGTAGCTGGTGCAGTGCTGTGTTTTTGACTTTCAGCCTGGGAACAGCACTGATAACACCAATATATTTAGTTGTTGCTCGGTAATGTTTACTCTGACCAAGGACTTTCTGAGTCTCATGCTCTGCCAGGGAGCAGGGGAAGCCAGGAGGAAATAGAGACAGGACATCTGACCCAAACTAGCCAAAGAAGTATTCCATACCACAGCACGTCATGCCCAGTATATAAACTGGGGGCAGTTACCCAAAAGGGCTAGATCACTGCTGGATCAGGCTGGGTATCAGTTGGTGGGTGGTGAGTGGCGGTATTCTCTCCTCTTGTTATTTCCTTTATCATTATTATTATTGGTGGCAGCAGCAGTGGTTTTGTGTTATACCTTATTTACTGAACTGTTCTTATCTCAACCTGTGGGAGTTACATTCTTTCGATTCTCTTCCCCATCCCTCCGGGAGCAGGGGGAGGAAGGGGGGAGTGAGCAAGCGGCTTCGTGGTTCTGGATTACTGGCTGGGCTTAAACCACGGCGGTTCTTTTGGGTGCCCAACGCGGGGCATGAAGGGTTGAGATAACAACAGATCTGACCAGAGTGTGTCTAATCATATTTGTGATAAGCATTTATTGTTTTGTTTTAATAGTCACTCGTCACAATGCTGATTTATTGGCTCTCAAAGTTGTTGCTCTTGACCTCAGAGTTTCAGCATGTCCTATTCTACTTACACCCGATATTTGCTGTGTTAGTGTTTATTGGCTGGGGGCCTTGGGCTAAGGTTCTTGTTTCATTGTACTTTATGGTAATGACTTGTAATACAATAGAATCATTGATCATGAAACTGATCTGGCTTATGTTCCCAATGTGGTCATCACCTCTATACTTCGGGAGGTTTATAATAGAAGTGGTTAGCAGTTACACATCTTTTTCCCCCTATTTGGGTGGTCAACCTGTGAAAGAGACATTCCCTTACCTTCCCAGCCTCCCCACCAGACCATGTACAGCATCATTTGAGAGTTTTGAAGGTTTTGAATGGCCTTTGAGTACCCTTGAGACCTGCCTGCTGATTGTGAATGGGGATCAGCATGTTGGCACACATACAGAGTGTGTTTTACCCACAATCATTTCGTCTGATCTCGAAAGTTAAGCAGAGTCAGGTTTGGGTCTTGTCTAGGGTTAGACGACGATATAGGAGGACCAAGAGATTTTCCCCGAGGCTGGACAGTCATGAGTGGCAGGGCGTGTGGGATAGTATGGGCAAGTACGTAGGCCAGTGGGCCCCTCCAGTGCTTTGGAACTTCACCAGTGAACAAGTGCAAAATCCAGAAAAATTAGTAAAACACTTAAATGAAGTGTGTTGTCATCCTGGTCATATCAGAGAGGGACAAATCATGGCACCGTACTGGGACTTGGCCTATGCTTACAGAGCCCTGTTCAACACTATCCAGCACCTTCAAAAGGAAAAAAATGTCTCTGGATCTGATGGCAAAGCAACAGACGACGCAGCTACTCGAACTCCAAATACAGCAGATACACCAACTGTAGTGACATGTACAGCACCTAGCTACTCAGACTCCGGCTGCAACAGATAATGCAGCTACTCCAACTCCAGGTACAGCAGCTACACCAGCCCCAGCGACAAGTACAGCAGCTACTCAAATTCCAACCGCAACAGGCAGCGCATCTACACCAGCTCCAAGCACAGCAGCTACACCAACCCCAGTGACAAGTACAGCAGCTACCCAAACCCCGACAACAGATACTGCAGCCACTTCAACCACAGTGCCAATCACTGCAGCTAAACCAGAGGGCTAGTTCGTGCCAATATCTGTTGCCCCTGTACGCAAGGGGAAAAGCAAAAAAGAGGCAAGAAAGATGAAGAAACAATGTACTCGCTACCCAGGACAGCATCTGACCAGAAGTTATGTGAATCAGAGGAAGAAGAAGAAGAAGAGGTGATGTCTCGACCCTGGACCTCAACCGAGCTACAGAATATGCAAACAGATTTTACCCATCAACCAGGGGAGCATACCATCACCTGTTTGCTCTGATGTTGAGACAATGGGGCCCATGGTTGTGAACTAGAAGGTAGAGAAGCCAAGCAGCTGGGATCATTTGCTAAGGAAGGGGGAATTGACAAAGCAATTGCGAAAGAGAAACAGTCCCTCAGCCTTTGGAGGCCGCTCTTGGCAGCTGTGAAGAAAGGTTTCCGTACAAGGATGATATTACGAGTCACAACACAATGTGTATCATTATCCTGTTCTTTAGTGAAGTCTGTGGTTTGTAAGAGCAAGATGTTAGCTCTTCCTTTAATAAAGTATCTTATTTGTGGTTGTTTTCTTATTTACTTGAGAAGTTTGGAGCAGTCATATAGTATCGGCTACCTATCTTGGCTGATCCTTTGAATGGCAGCAATGGTCAGGAGCTCGCGTATCTCAGGTGCAAGGGAAGAGTTTGCTTACTGAAAGCTACTCAGTGCTGTACACAAAAGACAGTGTGAGAATGAAGTGAATGTTTGGCTTGTTTGACACTCTAAACCAAGATTTCTTATGTCCTTACTTCCTACAACAGTCATTTGAGCTCTTAAAAATTTACTCATGAAAAATTTGACTGCATACTGGTGTTGTAGCACAATGCATAATGTAGGTAAAAATCCTTAAGTATGTCCTGCACAGTTCTGGAAACAGTAGTATTTTGAAAAACAAATATTCAGATATTTTATAAAGGTAGTTGAGATTTTTATTTGAGCCTTCTCCTTTATGTGGTCTGTCCTTTTGTGAGATAAAATAATTTTCCCTAGGCAACTGCAAGAGAAGGAAATGTAGTGGGGTTTACACTAAATAATGCTTAAACACCTTGATTATAACATTCTGAGTTGCAGATTATGTGGTTGTAAATGAGGTTTGTGTATTTTATTCTGTCTTTTTACTTTATCTCAAATACTAATTTAATAGGCTCAGGAAAACTCCATATGTTTGGCTGCTTTAGAAAAAAATGAAGGTGAAGTGACCCCTAAAAGTAAGTGCAAGTAATTTTTCAATATACATGTTACAAGAGAGAACTTTTTTAATTTGTGTATAGACTTGAAAGATCTGTAAGAATTCTATGTCAGAAATAACCTTAATCTAAATGGCAGAATTAATGTAGTCAGCTCTTGGTAAATGGAACTGTACATCGCTGGCTTATGGTGAGAAGGAACAGGGCTAAAGCTTTTGAAGTGCTTCTTCCCTGATCAGTATTTTCATGATGAATTAAAGGAAAGAATGAGCAACTCTCCAACATTATGTTTTTTTTATAATTGTATGCTTAGGTAAATTGTTATACAAGTGGGGATAAATGAATAGATTTTTGTATGGCTTTGGGGTTTTTGGTTGTGTGAATTGTTTTTAAACTCATTCCACTTGTAGGAGATGTCTTCTGCTAATGTTATGAAATTTAATGTAAAAAATGTATAACTACTACTCCATGGTGTAAGATGTTGCTGGAAAAAGGCTAAATTTTAAAATGTATTTTAATGTGTTATTTTCTGAAAGCTTATCTTTTCTTCTCTGTTCTGTAATTGGGCTACAAAACGGGTTGCCAGTCTTTAAAGAAAGAAAGTTCCAGGCTTGATCTGCGTAAAGATTTTGATTGATTGTTTTACGGTACTTCAGTGCAAGGAAGTCAAAACTGAAAGTCTTCAACCTTACTGTAGTAGGGAAGTGAATGTTCATTCTTTTCTTGTCATGACTGCTTTTCAGCTGTAGTAGAAGATGAACCAGAAGATGATGATCTCTTTGAAACTGAATTTAGGCAATACAAAAGAACTTACTACATGACTAAAATGGGTGTAGAAGTAGTTTCTGAGTAAGTATATATTTTTGTGTGTTTTTTGCCTTTTTTTCTATTTTTTTACTTTTTCTGTTTTAAGCACCTAAGTCTTTACATATGTCTAATACAAGACAGAATTTTCATCCATGTTGAAAGCACATGGCAGTGTACTGCATTGGTGAGGCTTTTGGCTAATGCAGTAAGAACTGCAAGCCAAGTTTTCTGTAACAAGTATGTGAGGACCAGAGAGAAAAATTCAATTAGTATTCTATCAATCTGAAAAACTATGGTCTTATTAGGTTCCCCAAATGCTCTATCTTCATTCCTGTGTACAGGGTGCTAAGTAATTTTTATATACTAATGAAAATGAGGAATACTAGTAAGTATCTTTCTTTTTCCTTTTAAGTGACTTCTTGGCTGATCAAGCTGAGTGTTACGTCCAGGCAATACAATGGATTTTGCATTATTATTACCATGGAGTTCAGTCATGGAGCTGGTAAGAAAAATTGTCAAATGAGAAATTGTTTCACCTTGTATGCTTGGAACACTTAATGCAGTTCTGTTTGTTTCTGATCAGTGAACATTGCTGTGCTAAAACTGAGTAACTTAAGAGATTTTTTTCCCCTGCAGGTATTACCCTTATCATTATGCACCTTATCTGTCAGATATTCGCAACATAGGCGAACTCAAAATGAAATTTGAACTGGGAAAACCTTTCATGCCATTTGAACAGCTTCTTGCTGTACTTCCAGCAGCTAGCAAAGATCTGCTACCTAAATGCTACCAGGTAGGATTTAGAATTAAATTGCATTTATCTATTGTTTACTGGTTGTCTGTTTTATTCTGAAGTAGCTCTTTGCTGGATATTTTTGTGTGTCCTCTTAATTACATTCTACCTCCAAATTTTAGGTGTAAGGTGAAATACTTCTTACTATTCTTAAGTATATTCTAGAGTTAGTAATAAATAGAAAGTTTTGCATTTGCTAAGCAATTTCAGACTAGGATATTTAAATGATGAATGTTAAATTCCTGCTCAGCCTTGAGTTGGTTTTAATACCAGCCTTCCTCTATCTCTTCCTGGCCTTATTGCTAATTTGTCTCTGGTAGTATTTAATTTCAATATTATATTTTCCTAGCATTTGATGATTAGTCAAGACTCTCCTATTATAGAATATTATCCACCAGACTTTAAAACTGACCTAAATGGAAAACAGCAAGAATGGGAAGCTGTAGTATTAATCCCGTTTATTGATGAGGTAAGTTCTTTCAATGCCTGCTCTCTATAAAAGCTTTGTAACAAAGTGCTAAACTTTTTAATTAATCAACTGTTAGACGTGCTATTAAATTGAAGTTTAAATTAATACTTGATAAGACCACAGAAAAATATAAATGTTTGCTGCCTGGATAGTAAGTTACCACAAGCGAAGTTAGCTTCAAGTGGCAGAAGTCTTAAGTAAAGGCTGTGGAGTTTTTGTTGTTTATTCATGTTTTTAATCAACTATTCAAATATTTAGTTTCATAGTCTGAGGGGAAAAAAAGTTATATCTATAAATACATAAAAAGAAAAATAAGAGAAAAAAATAAATGAAACACTTGGAGAGGAAATAAACCCCAGACTTTTTACAGAAAATCTCTTCACATGGACACCAGTAAATGGGTAGAAGACATTAAGTACAAATCAAACGGTAAAAAGGAGAGGAATAAAACACAAGGTTTTCCTTTTGTAGATAGGATAATAATATTATAGGGTAATAATATTATATATGTTGTTTCTTTTATCAGATTAAATTTGAGCACATCAAAGAGTGGATGAAAATAAAAGTGCAGATTAGATGTTAGAGCATATACAGGTGGTGGCATGTGCCTATCAATTGTTTCCATAGTTTGCAGTGAAAAGTTGGCATGACTTAATCTTCTCACAAAAGGCAGCAGTTGCTACTTGAATGACACATAAGTTTTTGAAAACTTTTCAACAGTTATTTTGTAGAATTTTATTATAACATTTAAAATCTTTTTAATATTTCTTTTTATGTTAAATGTAAAAGGCAAAGTATGGCTAGCCTTTGGAAACCCTGTTTGCAAAAAGGTAATCTGTATTCTCCAAAGCCATTCCATTGGAATTGTTCTATTTTTATTACAGAGCTGGGACACAAGGAAGGGTGGGGCCGCAATTAGAAATTTAGCATATTAGCCAAAAAAGTGCAGGTATCCACTTACCCACAGTAGATGTTCCATGCTAATTTTTGTTGCCAGTTTCACGTATGCTAATTTCTCTAAAATTTAGAAACGACTGCTACTGGCCATGGAATCGTGTAATAAGTGCCTAAAAGAAGAGGAGAAACGAAGAAATACTCACAGTGCTTGCTTAATGTACTGGTATGACAAAGATGTAGAATTTCAGTACATGTCACCATGGCCCGAGAAATTCCCTGCAATAGAAAGATGTCATACAAGGTAAAACTGGCATAACTGGTTTAGAGTAGACTAAAAGTAGGTCGAATACTTTTATTAGCATTTTAACCAAAGCTTGTATATGCCAGCATATACACTGAAAAAAAAGTAAAATGTTGAATTATATGTTACCTGTTGTGGATGGCACAGTTTAGAATTAAATTGTTTGGTAAAAGCGTTTGTCCCTTCAAACATACTTTGCCTAACAGACAAACCAATGCTAAGTCAGCAAGAACACTCTTAAGAGAATTACTAAACTTTGTATGACACAGAGGATGAAAGACTGATACAGCTACCTGATAACAGTGACAATCTATCAGCATGCTAATTCCAGAGCATTTGTAAAAAAAATGAAAGCATTTGTGTCCAGTGCAGGGTTGAACACAACTGTGTGTTTCACCTTTCTTGCATGGAAAGTAGCCAGCTTTATATGACACAGGCTGAGGTTTTAAGACTAAATGGAAACCTAACCTTGATAATAGTCAAACTATAATAGAGGAGGAATGCCTGTTGCAGGATTACACTCAGTGGAGAATTAACAGTTGTGAAAATGAGTGATACCATATGGAACCATTGCAGTTAAGAATTTGACAGTAACAGTGAATTAAGATGGTGAGATCGGGACATACTGTGGTTTGATGTTTTGTCTTTTTCTTAATGAGTAGCTTCTTTCCAGCAATAGCACAATGTTTTGTAGAGATTCCAAGTGATTTAAGTTAATTGGCACCCTACAGAAAAGTCAAAGCATTGGGCAGTTAATGAGTGTTTGAATGAGTAATGAGAGTTTCTAGAGCCAAAGATCAATCTGTTTGAGCAAACATTGCGTGACTTGTTTTTTAGGTATAAAACAATACCTTTGGATGCTTGGCACGTAGAAATAACCCACAACAAGATAACTAAAATCAACAAGAGTGCATTATATTTTTGTGGATTTCCTACTTTAAAGCACATTAAGCATAAGGTAAAAATTTCTCTCTTCTCATGTTTTCCATTGTATTTAATAGACAGCTATGTAAGAGTTCCAGCAAGTTTTATGTGCTGTTTTGTTTTTACACAGTTCTATCTTAGAAAAAGTGGTGTACAGGTGTTTCAGCAAAGCAGCCATGGAGAGAACATGATACTAGAAATCATAGCTAATGGGAACTCAAAAGAACAGGTAAGCAGTCAGCTCCTAACAAAACAAAACAAAAAAGCGAGCAAACAAAAAAACTGGCACAAAAATCCCCACAACTAAACAAAAAAAAAATTGGAAACCTGGGAAAAGAAAGAAGTTTCAGAGATAAATAAATAAAACCAGGAAAGAAGAGAGGAGGAAAATGACAAGATAGGATTTTACAGGAGAAAATTAGGGAGGGTGGCTATAAATACTTGGCAGAGATAATCAAATAAGCCAAAACAATACATTAAAAATAGTAGAAACTCATTGAAAAAATTAACATAATGTGAGACTAAAATTACAGACGCTGGTTAAATTCAGGACGTAAGTGCTGTTTCTTTATTTCAGTGAAATACAAAAGTAAAATCTACAATAAAAATATTCCACTAATTTCAAATTGTCAGTTTGATCATTGTGTCCCACAGACACAAATAGTTCTCAGTGTTTTAACAAAAAAAGTACATAGTAAGTCTATACCAGAAATGTAAACCAATCCAGGCCTTATAGCTAACATATGCTACATGTAAAGAGCTACGATTGGAATGTGACACTTTGTCCTAACAAACGAAATGTGATTTTCCATTTCTACTAAGAGATTGTGTTAGGCTAAAATGAGCTTTTTATTCTGAAAGAAAACCTGTTCTTTAACTAGGGTGGCTTTTATTGAAAAAACAGTGTGAAAATACTTTAACAGAAATCTTTTAGTATGTTAAACAATTAGTAACTTCTGGTTGTTTGAATTTTTTTCAGGTAGTAGAAAACGTTGCCAGTTCAGTACTTGGAAAACGTGTTTTCGTTAACTGGCCCCACCTTGAAGAAGCCAGAGTTGTTGCTGTGTCAGATGGAGAGACTAAGTAAGAGACATTTCATAGATTGTCATTTGTAATCTTTATTATTTTATTCAAAATGAGTTCTTAGGCTGCACAAGAGTTTCGGTTTTATTGCAATACTTGCTATTAGTTAGTCCAGATGTATCAAAGGTTGCTTGGTGGAAGAACCTTTGTTTAACATTGTTCTGAGGTTTGGTTATCTCTGTAGAAGTCTAGTCCTTCAGTCTTTTGCTATTAACATAGGAAGTTTGGGAGAGAACCTTCTTAACTTTGAGAAGGAAAATGCATGTACAGAAATCCACACAGAATGAATGTAAGAGAGAACATTTCTACACATTCTTCTTTTCAGCATATGCACTGGTATTTTTTTATAAAAAATATACTGTGTGGTCTGTTGTAAGGAGTTGAGAAAACAGTGCTGCAAGTTTTCATGTCCTTAACAAGTGATTTCTAACTATGCTAAGTTTTGCTCACAGCTGGTTATGTCTAGATTAATCTCACCTGGTTAAATTTGTACTTGTCATAATATTTTCAAGATTTTATTTAGAAGAACCACACGGCACACAGAAGCTTTACATGGGAAATGCAGTGCCCCCAACTAAAGTTGCGTATGTTGGGGATAAGGAACAGAGCACCTGGTTCAAGGACATTCAAGGCATTTCAGAGCAGTAAGTAACTTTGCAAATCAAGTGTAACTTTGCAAATCAAGTGTAACCTTGCAAATCAAGTGTAACCTTGCAAATCAAGTGTAACTTTGAATTTCATAGCTTAGAGCTGTTTTATTTGATGTGTTACAGACATAAGTAGCACAGAAGAGCTGCTGCAATTTAAAAAAAACCAAACAACAAAAACAACACCAAAACCAAAAAGCCACCAAACCAAAACAAATGAACAAACAAAAAAACACCAAAAAACACCACAAACACAAACCCACCAAACTGACAAAACAGTTTATGCTGAAATTTCAGAATATATGGGGTTAGTCCCTAGGTATTTAAAGTTAGATGCTGTTACAAAAGAATTCTCAAATGAATGAGTTTCAGTGTTTACTCTCCCATTCAGTTTTCTGTTCTGGTCATAGTAATCTTCAGTTGCAGAAGGTATATAGAATAGAGTCATACAAGATCTAGTTACAACTTAACAGTTTAGCATTGTTAAATTTGAATATAGCTCTTGCTTTTGTAGAGTGTAGGTGCACAACACAACTGAGTTACAGAAACTTGCTATTTTATTAGCTACCATTTGAGTTAACTGCCTTAATTACCCCAACACTTCCCACTGTAAAGGTACGGATGTGTTTAAATTAACACACTTGGCTGTGGAATGGTGGTTGTGCAACTGCCGTGTATAAGCAGTTGGTTAAGCTGTTTATTCTGGGCTTTTTTATAAAATGGGATGCAAACTATTGGAATAATTTTGTTGTTGTTTATTCTTGATGAAATATAACAAGGGAAAGTGTAGAGTCCTGCATCTGGGCAGGAACAACCCCAGGTTCCAATATAGGTTGGGGAACGACCTGTTAGAGAGCAGTGTAGGGGGGAGGGACCTGGGGGTCCTAGTGGACGACAGGATGACCATGAGCCAACACTGTGCCCTTGTGGCCAAGAAGGCCAATGGCATCCTGGGGTGTATTAGAAGGGGGGTGGTTAGTAGGTCGAGAGAGGTCCTCCTTCCCCTCTACTCTGCCCTGGTGAGACCGTATCTGGAATATTGTGTCCAGTTCTGGGCCCCTCAGTTCAAGAAGGACAGGGACCTGCTGGAGAGAGTCCAGCGCAGGGCAACTAAGATGATTAAGGGAGTGGAGCATCTCCCTTATGAGGAAAGACTGAGGGAGCTGGGTCTCTATAGTTTAGAGAAGAGGAGACTGAGGGGTGACCTTATAAGCGTCTGTAAATATATAAAGGGGCAGTGTCACGAGGATGGAGCCAGGCTCTACTCAGTGGCAAGCAATGATAGGACAAGGGGTAATGGGTGCAAACTGGAACACAAGAGGTTCCACTTAAACTTGAGAAGAAACTTCTTCTCAGTGAGGGTGACTGAACACTGGAACAGGCTGCCCAGGGAGGTTGTGGAGCCTCCTTCCCTGGAGACATTCAAAACCCGCCTGGACACATTCCTGTGTAACATTATCTAGGTGTTCCTGCTCCAGCAGGGGGATTGGACTAGATGATCTTTTGAGGTCCCTTCCAATCTCTAGCATACTGTGTGTATGTACTCTGTGTATTTCAAGCAATTCTGTCTTCTTGGTTCAGTTCTGTTTATTGTAATCAAACTAAATATTCTGCTTTGTATTCAGCTATCAGAGAAGAAAAGGAATAATTATCCATGAAACAGCAATAGTTGTATATGCTCAGCTGCTAACTGGTAATAGATACCAGCTGAAACAAAACGGAGAAGTCTATTTGGAGAAGCAGTGGTCAAAACAAGTTCTTCCTTTTGTTTACCAAACTGTTGTCAAGGTAAATACAGAAGGTGCACATAGCACCTTACTCCATTGAGAGTAAGCAGAGGAAAGAGTATATGTTCCTTTAAAACAGAAGAATGGACAAAAGTAAACAAATTAATGTAATTTGTTGTATTAAAAAGCGTAACATGCTTAGGCAAGTATTTCATCATGAAATTTGGGACAAAATTTGCACAGTTTAGAGATTTTACTGAAAAAATACCTTTTGTCATGTTTTTACTAATGGTATTTTGAATGAAGTACAGTTAGTGGTGCTCAAATATGCTACTAGAGTAGCATACTTGCTTGTGTAACAGCATTTGTAATATAGCATAAACTTCTTTGCCTTTGAATTATTTCAGATTCAGATGTTTTAGAATGTGTATATTTAGATGAACTTCTTAATTATTCTCCTGTAATCTGATGATACTTACATTATCAATTTTGTCTTTTTATGTAGGATATCAAAGCCTTTGACTCTCATTTTTCAAACATCAAAACTTTGGATGACTTATTTCCTCCTGGAAGTACAGCTTTTATGCTGGGATCTCCTTACTATGGCTGCATGGGAGAAGTTAGTTCCAATCATTTCTTTTTCCTTCCCCCCCCCCCCCCCCGACTTTGTTATTCACAAGCCTAAAATAATAAAAATATGTTCTGTGGTAGTAGTGGTTGCTTGCTAGCTAAAATTCCAAATCAAAGATCCCCTCATGGCTTAGTCAGAGGAGGAGGAAGTTCTGCTTTCCTTATCACTGTTGCTCACATAGCAAGAAAAAGGTAGCACAGCTTGAATGCATGATTATTTCTAGTAATTATTTGGGATAATTTGTAATGCACAGAGTTCCCATTTTGGACCAGTTTTAGTCATTGATTCCTTTAATGCTGTTAAGTTGCTTCTATGAGGAAGCACTTCACAGATGAAGGCAAGATGATGACTCCTAAAGTATCTCTGTGATTACTACAGCAAAATCGACAAAGTATACAGAGACTGCTGGTTTTAAGTAACATTTTTAATGTGTTGTATTTCTCTCCAAGGTTCAAGATTCTCATGATGTGATCACAGAAGGTAGAATTCGTGTCGTCTTCAATATTCCGTGTGAACCCCAGCTTGATCCTTTAATACAGAACCAGCATGTAAGTACTTCTGGTTTTCTAGTAGAAGTTTAAACAATCAGCCAAATATATTTTGCAATGGTAAATATCTTTAAGGGTTCCTCCCATATCGTTCATTTGCCCTTTGTATAAAAATCATTATCCTTTGGGAGTTGCCAATATTTTTTGTTTGTTTGTTTTAAAGAAATATTCCGTGAAATACAATCCTGCATATGTTTTGGCCAGCCGTCTTGGAGTAAGTGGATATCTTGTCTCCAGATTTACAGGGAGTATCTTTATTGGAAGAGGATCAAAGAAAAAGTAAGTTCTATTTGTGAATTTTGACTGTAGAAAAGCTTCTGAATTCTAATACAATTTCACCTAATTTCTGGTATGTTTAAGTGTTGTGCATACCAAACATGTAACAGGTTTGTGATGTGAAACTTCCTTTAAAGTAGATTTTCTGTGAACTAAATTCATATGCAGTGTTTTTCTCTCCTATCATAAATTTCCTAATTTTTGTTTACTGGAGAGTTGTTCTGTAGGCTTTAGTATTTTGAAAAATATAAATTGACTTTCCTGGTTAGCTATTTGCGTAATTAAAGCAAGAACTAGAAATTACTTTGCCACACTGAGAGTGAAAAGTGGAATTGGGAACCAATTTCATTGCACTTAACATTACTGTTGGTATAAAAGGATTATAATTGTACCTGTATTTTTTTTAAGGAGTAGCTAAGACTAAACTGCTTTTTATATATAGACACACACACACACATATATATATGCATATACATACATATATATGTATATATGTATAAAAGGGAAACAATCCCTATAGTTTTATGAATGTCAGAATTGTGGTTTCCTATGACAACTCACTAAGGAAGTGGTTGATGCATGAGCATCTTCTTTGATTTAATGTGTACATCTGTTCCCCACTGGTTGTTCAGGGGCATCCATCTACATTTTGGTAAATGCCAAGTAGATTGTGGTTGATCAGGTCTCTATTAAGGAAGATGGGTAAAATATTCGCTGCCTTCCTTTGCATTAAGGTACGGGCGTGCATGTGGAAAGTTACTGTAGCACTGCGTGTGTCCTGTAACATTTACAACTGACACAATGCTAACAAGTAAACAATACAATGAATTTAATTTTAATTTCACTGTGGTTTAAGGCTGAGGATATATGTTTGTGTTTTCTAATGTATACATGCACATTTTTACTACTGGAAGTTAATAAACTTTTTTTTTACTTCCAGCCCTCATGGAGAACAAAAAGCAAATGTGGGACTAAACCTGAAGTTCAATAAGAAGAATGAAGAAGTACCTGGCTATACCAAGAAAGTTGGAAATGAATGGACGTATTCTTCTGCAGTAGAACAACTACTTGCTGAGTATTTAGAAAGGTAAATATTGGATACAAACTTCATCCAAATTATCTACCTTTGGATCAGTCTCTGGATTTTGTCTTCTGAACACACATCTTCTGCAAACCAGTGAGTTTGCTTTTGGAGATGGCTTGATTTATCTTTTGATTTATTTTTTTTGGTTTTGTTCCAGTGTTTTCCCTCCAGCAGTCTCTCCCTCCAGGGTGAAGTAAATTTTGGGATAGAGTAATTCTGTCAGCAGCTTACCCTTGACAAATGTACAGTATGACACTAAGAAATAATCTGTCTGGCCTCCACAAATTTTGAAGCTCATCACAGTTTGTTTTGATTAGGCTTTTTTGTGGTATGTGCTGATGTGAAACTAAATTTATCTTTCGTTCATTCATTTTTTAGGGTTCCTGAACTATTTAATTATATAGCCAAGAATAGCCAGGAAGATATCTTCTATGAAGATGACATTTGGCCTGGAGAGGATGAGAATGGGTAAGCCTTCTTTCTCCTATTTCCCCCTCACCTCTAGAATAAATAGAATAGACTGACAACATTATGAAGTTGATGGTAATCAAATAGTGGCTGTTATATAACTGTAACCTTGCTATTTCTTGAGCAATATGAGTTTAGTGATGGCTCTGAAAAAAATATCAGAATGTTGTACATTGTAGTTGTGGAGTTCAAGTTGCTGTCAGACTCCTATCTCAAGTCTGGTAAGTGAGAAAGCTAATTTTCAGTGGCTACTTCATGATTCTTGCTTTTAAAGTAACCCTCAATAAGCATAGTTATGAATAATCACTAAAATCGCAGAAAGATCATTTTTGGAAGATAAGCAATAATTATTTCAATTGTTTAAGATCACTTCATATTTGAAAAATAACATGTTAAGAATTTAAGGTACTTTGTAGATTTTGAGTATGCATTCAGTCTGTTTCATGGGAGACAAGGAGCAACCTTGATTCCAGACACAGTACAGAAACATTAAAAAAGGCTTTTAGTATTAGCTCTATTCACAGGCTTGAGATGGTAAGTCTGCATGATGCAGAACTCTTGCCAGGTGTGTATACCACTGTGGGATACTAATCTCAGGTTTGTGTTCCATTTTAGTAGAGGCATGCCCTGAAGTTCTTTCTCACTGTGTTCTGAGACACAGCTAGTCACAAAGCCTTTAATCACAGCTGGTCATGGTTAGTTGATGGGATGCAAACATAATTTACTGAATACTTCTTTTTTTTCTTGGCAAAACATCAGGTTATAATTTTGAATCAGTATTGCATGATGCAGTTTGATTTTTATTTTTTTAACCCTTATTGTAAACTCATGCAGAACTCTTAAATTCTGTTACATTCTGAATGTATACAAACACTGCTACTATATCATAATACCTGATGATTAAATCAAGGAATGTGGTAAAATGCTTTGTTTATACAGTTAAAAGTTTTAATTCATGTCTTTTTTATTTAGAGCTGAGAAAGTTCAAGAAATTGTTGCCTGGTTAAAGGCACACCCTGTGTCTGCTTTGTCTCGTGCATCTTGTGACTTGCAAATTTTGGATGCAGCCATCGTTGAGAAAATTGAAGAAGAAATAGAAAAATGCAAGGTATGCAGCTTGGTATCATTGTGAGCAGGGCTGAACCAAAAAAACAACTGCTTGTTACTTTGTGGGTTCTTGAATTAGAATAAGACGATTGAAGATTACCTCTCATTCCAAAGAAAAAGAATACAGAATGTAACGTAAGACCTGAATTTGTAATGTGAATTGTCCTTGAAATTCAGAAGAGCTCATTATTAATCTTTTTAATTGACTGTTTTTCAGGCAATCCAGCAGCATTAGGCCATGCTCTGTTCTCTGAACTGTGATCTTTAGAAAGGAACATGTGTCAGTATATAGATTCTGAAATATTGAAGTGGTTTTTCTGTGTGCAATGTCAGCTGGTTTTCCCTTGCAGTTTCTCTTTGGTCTGAAGAAAATTACAAAATTGTGTCCTGAAAAGCCATAGATCAAAAAAGGGGACAAGAAAATTACTAAAGCAAAAGCTAAAGGCAAAGCCACGTGAAACAATGGGCTTATTTCTTTGAAATTACTTGCAAGGACATGTTAATAAAATCATTGTGAATTCTCAAATTAGCCAAGCAGTGCAAAAGCTTTGGTAAGAAATCCCATGTTTTGAAAACTGTAGTCATCCTAAAGACTTCACAAAGCTGTATACCTTTATCTAAAAAACAGAAGACTTCTCCATAATCTTTTTAGGTGTTTTGTTGTACCTGAAGTCCACTGTTGGTTCCTACACTAGTTTGTAATAACTTTTTGTTTCTTTCCTTTAGCAAAGAAAGAGCAACAAGAAGGTGCGAGTAACTGTGAAACCCCATTTACTGTACAGAGTAAGTGACATGAAAAGTTGTTGTTTTTTCTTGAAGTCAGTATGTCCAAATGGTATTTATTTTGCCTAAGCATACCAACTTTCAGAGAGGGGAATTTTATGACAGTATTGATGGAAGAAGAAGTTTTGTGATGCCTTCTAGAAAATCAATTTGATAACATCATCTCTAAAAAGAGAGAATTTCTACTAAAGACTCCGTAACGTATTACACTGACTTTCAGTTCTTTTCTACTTTCACTCCTTCATGCTTCTACAGTTATTATTGGCTGTACAATGAAGGCAAAATAAAATGTACTTCCTGTTAGCTTCTTCTTGCCTGTTTTGATTTTTTTGTTCAGTTCTTGACACAGAACCAATTGCTCATCTTGCTTGGTATTTCAGAGATAGCCATGTTACTGACACAGGCAGGTTACACCTGGTGGCTTTATTTTATCTAAATCGATCCCATTGGTCTGCCTTGGGTCATGTATGGCACTACTTTTCTCAGGCAGCAGCAGTAAGTGACAGTGGCAAGAAAAAAAAATGCTTTGTGTCTAGGGAGGAAAAATTTCTGTTCTTAAACTTAAGCACACACACAAAAGTTCACTTTATAGTGTGTTTCAGGTATTGTTGTAAATGCATTTTGGTTGTAATCCCTATATTTTTTTGCAAACCTTAACACAGTCTTTTCATCATTGTCAGCCATTAGAACAACAGAATGGGGTTGTTCCAGATCGCAATGCAGAGTATAAGCTGTTTGACCGTGTTGTCAACGTAAGAGAGAACTTTTCTGTTCCAGTTGGTCTTCGAGGTACCATTATAGGAATTAAAGGAGGTAAGATTTTCTTCGTAATTATGGCATTATAGCTATATAACAGCACAGCTAGTGATGTGAAAGCAGGCTTCAGAAAAGTGTTTTGTCTAATGGTTGTGAACGCACAGGAGTTTCTTAGCTATGAAGCATATGCAACTTGAAGCCACTAATGGCATATTTACTGCTTTGAATTAAACCTACAGGTATTCTATTTTAATTGTATGTGTTATAGTGCTATACTTTGAATGAGAAATTGTTTCTTCTTAATATGAAGAAGGTAGAGATCTGTGAGAAAGAAGACAGTCTGCAAAAAAGGAACAAAATGAAGTTATGGGAAGATACGGGCAAAGTTAGGAAAAGTAGAGATAATAAATGTTAGCCTTAATACTTACATTAAGCATAAAATTTTATCAAATATGATTTGTCTCAGATTGTTTTATCTGGAATTTGGTTTTTATTCTGTGATATTCCAGTTCTGTTAAATGGCATGGGTTTTTATACCTTCTTTGACAAGATTATCCATAAATGTATTTCAGGTAAACAAAAGGATTTGCAGAATCACAGTGGGATTGCAGTTTGAGATCTAGTAATATAGATTGTTTTCATACCTGGCATTTAAGTAGTTGCTTTCTCATTGAGTCGGCATTCAACAGAATCTTGAATAGACTAGACTTGAGTGCAGCTTTTTAAAAGGGTTATTTTTTCTGTAATGATCATATACTAGTATAATTTTAAAGGAGTGTTAGTCTATCATTCTTCAAGAAGGTAATGTTAGAGCTGTCAATTTCCAACTGCCTGAACCTAAAAATGGCTTGTATCTCTTTTCTGGCAGTTTGACAGCTGTGACATACTGCTATAAATTGCAGTTCTATTAATGCAGGTTGATAAGTTGTTATGCATGGTACATAATCTAAAAGGGCAGATACATGACTTTGAGAAACATTTCTGAATTGTTAATTAACTCATTTAAGGAATAATGTTTTTGTGGCTGATTAGTTAGGTTTTGATATTTTTATTATTTTCTGCGTAGCTAATATGGATATTTACATCACTTAGATTAAAACAGCTGCTGTTATGTATATAAGATGACTTTTTTTTTTGTTTTCTGTAGCCAGTAGAGAAACAGATGTGCTCTTTGAAGTTCTATTTGATGAAGAATTCCTTGGAGGCCTAACTATAAGGTGTGTGCAGGGGGTTTCATAGTCATTTCATGCTGTCGGTACAGATAGTATGAAATTGTTGCTGTTGGATTCAGTGACTATTTTTAATACCTCTTTTTAAAACTTTCTTAACAGAGTTGGTCAGTTTTTATTTCTTTTTTGTTTCTTTTGTTTGTTTTTTTGTTTTCCCCTCTGAGTACGGATAAATTTTGCTCTTTAGGCTTTTTTGTGTGTATAGAAGCTTGTGATTTGTAGAAAGCAAATATCAACCGGCAGAAGAAAGCACTAAATCCAAATGTCTCTCTAAATGAATATGTAGAAAACAGGTTGTAATCAGTATGTCTTCAACATGTAGATTGAAAAATATTAATCATCTGTTCCTCTGAAGGAGGGACTCTGAACTATCAATAAGTGATACTTTGTCACTAAATTCTGATCACCATTAAAAACCTTAAATATTCTTTCAGGAGGTGGAGGCATGGTTAATGCTTTTGTTTCAAGAAGTTTGATAACTCTTCTGTATTTAAGTAATCAGGTGAACTTCTAAGTGCAAACATTTACCTAGCAGCCTTTATTTTACTGTTGTTCTTAGACAAATTGAGTTTTTTAATGACAGAAATTAGAGGAGAATTTTACCTATTCCCTCTGTTCAGCAACCATAACAACCCTTTCGCTTGCAAGGGCATATCCTGTAACACACAAAATCTTCAGTATTCAAAATCATAAAGGAAGATATAAAACTGGTTAAATGCTGCATAAGTTCAGTTTATAATTCTGCTACTGGCTTCAGTTTTTATCTTGGGAAAAAAGAATAACTGTTTCCTGGTTCATCATTTTTTCATAAATACTACAGAACTGTGCTATAACAACTCACTCATCTTTAAACTTTCTTTGAGCTCAGTGCTGAAAGGTACAATATAAACTCAGAGTAGTAGTAATGACTTGTTTTCTGGTTTTGACAGCCAGAGGCCAAAGGAGAGAACAGTGGGATTATCACTCTATAATTCAGTACTGGATACAGTTTTCAGCCTGTTAATGTTAAAATATAGTGAAATGTCTATAATTGAACTACATGAAACAGCTGTGTCATTTGCTTGTCTTAAGGTGCTCACCTGCCAGAGGGTATCGTCTGCCATCAAGTGCCTTAATTAACCTGTCTCATGGTAGTCGGTCAGAAATGGGAAATCAAAAACTGACAGCCATAGTTAAACCTCAGCCAGCTGTGAATAACTACAATTCATATGCATCCGATCTGTCATCTGCATGCTCACAAAAAGTGCATCTAGGAGGCCTCAACCATTCTCCTCGCTCCCTTTTTGTTCCTACTCAAGTAAGACTTTTCCTTCGTTTTTACAGAAATGTTTTTTTCCTAGAAGCTGAATTATGACCATGGTTATCATCTTCACTGGTACAAACAAAATTCAATTTTTACATTGGTATGTTAAAAGTAGGATAATCTTTATGAAATGAGTTAATCAAATAATGAAGAGGACCTAAATGTCCTTATTGACAATTGTAGCTCCAGCTGCCTTTCCAAGAGACAAATATTTGGTGTGAACAAATACTTTGCTGGGCAGAGATGTAATTGTTCCGTTGAAGCTCTGTTCCAAGTAATTCTTCCTCTAGGCCAAGTTCGTCCATGCTCAGACAGAAAAGACATGATATCCTTGTCGGTTTTGCTTCTTGGTTATGATTTATTTTGTTTGAAAATACAGTAAAAGGGGGGAATTACAGGTGAATTGGGGTTCTCACTAGTTTAATTAAGCTTTACTTTTTAATAAGTGATTTCTTTAAAGAAAATCAGCTGAATTGGTAGCTTCATGTTGCTTATAGGTGTGTTTGAGAAGCACTGTCTCATCCGAAAGAACATTTAAGACAATGATACGTGCCTCATTTTTTTTGGTGTTTTTTTTTCTTGCATGATTTAGCAGATGAATGGAAGACAGCATTACAATCTCAGGGCTGAAAATCAGGGCACCTCTAACTCACCCCAGAAAGGATGTGGCAATCAGAAAAACAAAGTGAGTGTTCTGATTCATTTAGTAGTGGATCCGAATGTCTCAATATTTTGGCCCCCTGTTTAAAGTGGCCCCCTTTTCTCATGACTAATAGATAGCTTTGCTTTGTACATCAGATGTTTTAATCCTGATACAGACTGGAGCAGAACTTGTCCCAGTTCTTGAATGAGTATAATATCCTGTGTTGTACTTTTTTAGAGTCTAGATTTTCAAAAGTGTTTTTTTTTACATAGCTGGGCTTCAGTTCTGTGGTAACATACCTATAATGTTATTAAGCAGTTGAGACTGATTGATAAGGCCTTACAAAATAGTATACTAATAATTTAAGAATGCAACCAAATATGAGAGCATGCTTTTAAAACCATTTTGAATTATTGACTGAGTTTAATTATACTCTGTGGTAGTAACTTCAGTTAATAACAAAACAAAAGCAATCTCAAACTAAGATCATGTCTGTTTAATAGTCATTCTTAGGAAAAGATGTTACATAAATACAACCTACCACAATAGCCTATTTCATAAATTATATACGTTTAAGTTCTAGTATCAGTATGAAAATTCCTGCTATCTGAGCACTGTTAGACTTGGACAATTTTCAGAATGTCTTTATATATGATTAGCTGTTCAGAAGTTGGGTTTAAAGCTGCTGAGCTTGTTGGGGGTGTTGTTTCTTGTTTTGTCAGGCACAGAGCAAGCAAGATGATGAATTCTGCAGCATATGGCAGTCACTGCAGAATTCTGGGAAGTCTCACCACATTCAGCAAAACATGCTTGAGAAGGTTAGTATATAAACTTTAAACAGATCACCAGAGTCAAAATGTGAAGGTACTTAATTTTATATGTCAGTTCATTACATCAGAAAACTTTCTAGTTAATGCTACAAATAAATAAATCCTCTGTATGAAAGTCTTGTTACACAGGGTGCACATAGCTGTGGAAGGAGGTAATCATATGGGACTACTATGTAAATAGTACATAAATAGTTTTATGGTTAAGCTTTGATGTTTGAAATCCTAGGGTGCAGTTCTACCTCAGGAAATGAAGCTGGGAACTGGCAATCAGTTCTACAAGCCAGGATTCAATGACAGCAGCTTTAAAGGTCAACAGAGAAAGCAGGAGCCATATAAAAAATGTAAGTACTATAATTAGACACTTTGTTTAGGAAAACTACTTGCTTTAGGTAATCATCTTTGAAATCCTTTTGAGTTTTTGTGGTTATCAACAGAAAATAGTTTACGAGTTACATAAACACTATGTTGCACTTGTTATTGTCAGATAATGCCCTGGTGTGCATACTTGAACCTTTTAATCAAGCTGTTCAGCGTTATTATGATTTTCCACCCATCTGATTATGAAAAAAAAAAAAAGGAAAAAAAAACAAAAAAAAAAGACAAAAAACCAAAAGCCAGCAAAACAAACCAATGACGTCTTTGAAAATTTGCTTATGATCATGTTTGTAGAATATAAAGTTAGATATATTATTGCATATGCTTCATTTTATCCTACAAGAAAAACATGCAGCGAATTACCTGTAAAGTACGAATTAAACATTTGATGCAACCATTCAGATCAGTGCAACTTGGTGTACTTGTACAGTTATTTATTTTTTGAGTCTTGATTATTACAGTTTTAAGAGCATTTCAAAAGAATACATTCTTTTGTAGTTAAAGAAGATTCCAAAGTTACAAGAGGTGAAAGTCAGCCACATAGTAAAATATCAAACAAACAGGTAATTTCTTCTGTACTGAGTAAATGTATTCTTTTCTTTTCATTTTACTCTAATCTGGTTCATCACTTTACAGTTTTCTCTGTAACTGGCATCTTGATTCTTCTACTAGGTAAATTTTATTTTGGAGATTTTTTTCTCTACAGATTTTATAGACAGAAAGTGAGAGAAAGTGCATAAGATGTATAATGTTAATACAAATTATTTTCCTATTCCTGTTAGACTCTAAAAGCTGTGCTGTAATGGCAATATGCAAATGCTAGGTTTTTAGTAAGCCGAAATCCTCTACGAATATTAGCTTGTGAAAGCTATCTGTAGATGCATTTCTAATGTGATTGTGTTACAATGAGTAATGGAGTATTAGTATTCAATAATAAATGCTGCAGTTTATTTCAGAATTTTGCAGGTGTGAATAAGTACAATGTCAAACTTTTGAAGAGGAATGAAAGTCCCAACATGCCTGTAATTCAGAAAGCTGCAGTTGATGGTCCCTGTACAGGTGGAAAGGTAGTATTTAGACATTTGGTTTTCTTGTGCTCTTTGAATAACTTCAGTTTCCAATTCATTTTGTTCCAATTATTCTTGGTTACTTCTGTGCAAATTCATGTTTATAGCAGATACAAGACAAACCTGTGTAGCCTTGGTCATTCTTTAAATTAGTCCTGTATTGGTCAACACTTGCATCTTTTGTATGCAAAACTTGATGTAGTCTTTGGGTATCTGTTCACACTCTGAACAGACATGACAAGCTAAAAGAAAAAAAAAAAAAAGTCCTGAATAAGCATAAAAACGTATACCCCTCCTCTTGCATCTGCTTGTAATATCCTAAGTTGATCTATCTTTTTTCTGTATTTGTTTTAAGAAGGACAATGAACTTGAAAGCCTTCTAGCTTCTTTGAAAATTTCCAAAGAAAATGAAGTGCAGACTTATTCCAAGGAAGCAAGAGCTACGAATGAAGAACATCTGTCACCACAATCATTTGCTATGGTCTGTATACTGCAGGATCATTACATTGCAATTTAGCATCTGCTATCTTAGCATCAATACTTCTATTTAAAGTAACTCTGTGAAACCTTATATTGCCTTTTAAACATATTGATGAGCTTTTAATTATCCATTCTAAAAATAAATAAACACATTTGTTCATGCTAAGATGCTGTTATCTGTGCTCTGATAAAATCTTTCCTCTGCTAGGAAAGCAAAAACTCAGATTGGGTTACCGATTATGATATTCAAAGTTAAGTAAAAAGGTAGTGTTACCTGAATGCCAGCATGTCCCTGAATGGTTTATTTTATTTTTAAAGAAAGGAACACAGATGCTCAAAGAGATTTTGAAGATAGATGGCTCTGACCAGGAAACAAAGAATGAAGTGAAAGCCCAAGTTAATGATGTTCCTGCTCCCCCTAGCAGACAAGATTGCCATGGAGCTGCCTTGCAATATAGACAAAGTAAAAAAATGGGTATGTTTGGACATCATCTCATAGTTCAGAGTTTCACCTTGTAGTGCCATTTTAGAATGTAGCTAACAGTATAGTACTGATTTTCAAAATATAGTAATAAAATGCCCATCTTTTTCAGTTCTGCTTCTTTATTCAGATCTAAAAATCTCTTTATATATAGTGTCCTGGTTTTTGTTCATCAGATATGAAAATACCAGGAAAAATGAAATATGCTTCTTTACTTTCTGCTAATAGCAAGTTGCTGTCCTTTCTGTGCAGGCAGTGTTTGTGCTACAGCTTTTTTTACTTTTTTTTTTTCTTTTTTTGACAGCTGCCTATATGAACAAGCCTCATAGCACTGGAGGCCCTCAGAACACACCAGCACTGGAAACTGGAGGTCATCCTTTTGCTTGCCCGCAGCCCGCACTGTCTACTGTTGCTGAACTTTGCCGTATGTGTTCTCTTGTTGGAATGTCGCAACCAGATTTCTCTTTCCTAAAAACACCACAGGTAAAAAGATTTTTCTGGAAAAGTTAAAGTTCTCAACTTTGTTTCAGCTATCCAAACTAGATGATCTATGAAGGTCCCTTCCAACCCTAATAATTACGTGATTCTGTATTAAACATTTGGACTGAAAATCCATCTAAAAATAAATCTTAGCTCCTTTTGTTGCCTTTTTCCAAAACAAACAAATCCTCTGTTTCTCAATTTGTTTGTCAGCAATACAGATTCCCTCAAAAATCTTATCTCATTTTTCTAGACAATGACAGTTTGTCACATAAAATTATCGAATGGTTTGTTGGTTCATGGACCACAGTGTCATTCTGAAGCTGAAGCAAAGGAGAAAGCTGCGTTTTTTGCTTTACAGCGTTTGGTGAGTATGCAAAGGATCTTTCAACATCTGTATCTCTGTTGCATTGTGTCTGTTTGTGATCCTTCGGTTCCTCCTTCATAGAGCGCTATAGGAGTAAACTTCCCTTCGCCTCCAGCTCCACCAGTGTTTCCAAGTTATCAGCCACTGGGAGTTCCTGTGCCACCTGGATCTATTCCTCCAGTATTTGCACAACCCACTGGTAAGTATACTAATACAGTTCACTCCGATAAGGATGTGAAGATGCTAAGTTACATGTACTCTGAAATGCAGATGCGACTTAGTGCTCTTAACTGTGCTGTCATCTAGGTGTAGTCCTGTCAAAGCAGAAATGTTTGGTATTTTTTTATTTGATAATAAATAAATACCTATTTTCAAGTAAACATGAATAATATGTGGCTTTATTGAAACAACATGCAGACAAATTTAGTTGGTATACTTTTGGGGTCTTTGGGAGTTAGTATCCTCTTTTTGAGGAGAGCGAGCTAAAAGTTACTTGTTTTCACAGCTAATATAATGCCTTCATCGTCTCACATGTTTGGTCCAGTGTCCTGGGGAACTCCAGTGCCTAAACATTATTATCCTGGCTCCTACCCGGGAAATGTATCTCTTGCAGGAACTATACCTGTTGGTTCTCACAACCAGTTTATACCTCTGCAGGTAAGATTGTTTGTGGGTTTGTTTTAATATTCTGTTTCTGTAAAAAAAAAATGTGCCTACATGATGACTGAAAGAATACCTGGGCTATGAAGCGCTTTTTAGGATTAGAAAATTATTTCTAAAATTGTACGCATGTTTTCTAAATGTGGAATATTTGCAGGTTTCTGAGAATGCATTCTGTTAAATAATATTTATTTCATTTAAAGGTAACTAAAAAAAGGGCTGCCAGCAAGAAAAACTTTGAGCACAAGGAGTTTCAGAGTTTCCCTCAAGGTGCACCACTAAAGAATGAACAGGCAGTGTCTTCTGACCACACTCAGCAAGACAGTTCTTCAGCTCCTTTAAAATCTCCTCAAGCTGCTCAATCAACTGTTTCATTTCAAGACAATGTGGCTGCTCCAAGAGTTCCTCATAACAAATCAACACCAAACACTTCCAGCAAGCGAAAGTCAAGAAAGCTGGCTGTCAATTTTGGGGCACCAAAATCTTCCGAATAAATATGGTAGCTAGGAGTATACTGTTTTCAGCTCTTCCCCCACTGTTACGTTCTGTCATTTAAAAAAATCAGAAAGCTCTATTAAAAAGACCAGCCACTTTAAGTATAATATAGAGAAAAATGCATTTTTTTGCTATGATTTTCAGGTTGTTACGAAAACTATAAAAAAATTATATTGAACCTTGATTGCTTTGACTTAGAATAGCAAAAGCTAGGAAATGCTGAGTTAAGGTTACCATGTCATCAATTGTGCCTAGGTTTCTAAACAGTGGCTTACAGACTATACCAGGTAAGCAGCAATAACAGTGGCAACCTCAATTCAGAATTGCCGTGCTTTTTGGGAGGGATATGGAACGGTAATAAGTTGGGCATCTAACATTGCTTTAGTATGACACTTATCTTCTAGCTTATTTTTAAATAGTGTAATAGGACAGAAAGGAAAAATGATTTAAATGCAGCTTTTATATTGGCTCTCCAGGTCCTTCTGAGTTGAATCAGGGAGACTAAAACCTAACTACAGTAGAGCTGCCAAATTTGCTTTAACTGTGAACTATAGGTTTTATATCAGGGCAAAAACTTTCAACTTTCCAAATGTAGGTATTACTGTCTCTCTAGTATTAGAGTGGCAAAAAGTGGTTGCTGATGCAGAACCTGTTTCAGGAGATGAATTTATAGGATGAATTAAAAAAAAATACGGATCTGTAAAATAGAGACCGCTTTGGTAACGTACATTTAATTATTTTTTTTTAATTACCAGTATTATCAATGTCATTGTTTTCTGATGATAAAATAGCACAGATATTTACTACAGATCTACAGAGCCTCCTAAAATGTTAGTGATACCCTGATTGGTATTTTTTTTCTAAAGCAGAAAAATGGCCAGAGTTTAATGATGTCCATGTGTGTGTACATAGCTGTCAAAGTTATGATTACTTAGTGTCCATTTCTCTCTGTAAGAGCCTGCACCCTGAAAACTTCTCTGTGGTGGGTTATTTTTTTGTTACTAGTGACTTTTAATATTTATTTTTCAGTTTCGTGATAGAAGTTCTCTGTAGCAAAATTAAATTATCATTATTATGTTCCATAAGAATATTCAGGCAAAAGGTTGACCTGTGTGTTTGGAGGGAGTTCTGCTGTAAAAGTAGCTCCATCATTCTTGGTTTACATAGGAAAAATGAAGGCTCGAAGGTGCCTGTACCATTTTTAACCCACAGGTACCCTTCTTCCTGACATTAAGAAGAAATCTTCCATCTAATTAGTGATTCATTTTGTTTCCTCCAGGCAGGTTTCATGTTGGAGCTACAAGCCTGCAGATTTTCTTTCAGTTCTCCTACCTTGTGCTTTGCCTCCATTTCTTGGTGTAGTACCAAGTTTCACACTGTTATTGTGGTATAGGATTTTTTTAATATTGATTTCTCTGAAACAGTTGTTGCCTCAGCAGTGTTTGTAGAATAGCAGCAAGCTGCAGGATCACAGAGGTAAAAACAAGGTTAAGAAATTTTATTTCATTTTACTTGGTATCACAAACCTTGTAGAATAGTCTGTATGCAGTCTTAAAATATATTTTGTTCTCTCTATATCCATCTAGTCTCAAGAGGGTTTGAAAGCATATTCTGTGAAGAGAAAGCGATTTATTTTCATTAGCAACACGAGACTGCCATGATGCATACATGCCAATATTTTGGAATTGTTTATGAGAAGTTATGAGACACAGACATTGTTCCCCCATATCTTAAGTGAGCTATCTGACCATCAGAGAAAAGATCTGTTTAGAAGTTTTTATGATGGAGAGGACACTATGTTAAGTTCTAGCATTGCAGAACTGTGACATATCTGGGTAGTCAATTTATGCACAACTTTTAGAAACAAAGTTATGAAGGACACTGTACTCATCACTGGTAAACACAGCAACTTTTATTACTAATTACGTCTGACTAAGACTTCCTCTTCAAGTAGAATTGCTATGTTTACTATATATAGCTGATTAAACACTTTATTGTGTAGCTGCTGCATCTTGGATTAGTCCCTGGTTTTTATTTTATATATTCTATGATGCTGATTGCCTGGTGCCCAGTTAATTACAGTTTTACATGTCCTGCTAGATGTGACATCTGCATTGATCTATGCCATGTCCCCTATGATTTCAGTTTTATATTTTAACAAGGTGACTATGTTTAATTCATACAGATATAAATTTAAGCATTTGTTTTTCTCATAGATATAAAGTATTTTGTAAGCACTGGAGTTTTTCATTAGATCTTATACAGAGCAGTATTTTACTAAAAATCCAAAAGGGAAGACTTTTATGTGCACGTTTTTGTAGTTTCTGATTTTTTTAAAATAACTTTTCATTGTTTATCTGCCAAGTGAAATGTTTTAAATTTGCATATGAATGGATACAGAATGTATTTTTTGTGCTGTTTAGTGTTAAGTGTGCGTTTGCAGATTTTTAGCATGTAGCTGCACAAAGGACTGTGCAAAGATATTTTCAAATATGAATATATGATATACTGAAGGAAAAACATTCATGAAAGTTAAATGCTATATAAAACTTTAATGCAATAGTATAATTTTATAAATTGTGTCTGTGTCTGCTTGGATTAAATATTGAAACAAGAAGCATCATTTATTTTCACTGCTTTATTTCCAAATACTATATGGGACCTTCTGTAAGCTCCAAATCAGAACTTTTAAGACAGAAATTAAATATCATGAAGTCCAGTTTCAGTGATTCTCAGAAGCAGCAACTGCCCACCTCTGAGCTGTTTCTTGGTGGCTTTCAACTACTCTTCAGTTAAAGATGCGAAGTTTGTTGAAAAGGTTGTTGGTTACTTTGCAGTTAAAAGCATTTAACTAGATACTGATCTTTCAAAATTTCTTCCCCTCTGTTACCCATTGGATTTATTAAATTGCTGTAGGAAGGGCAGGAAGATTAATTTCCAGCAAGTTTGGTCCTAGTGGTTCTTAACGTAAGTGCAAAACCAGCTCATGACTTATAAGTAGGAGGAGCCATAGATACCTGGAAATATTTGTACATCTTTTTCTGTACCTGGAGCATAACGCTATGCTGAGGTTTTTGCTAGAGTAGGGTAAGAATAGTCACCTCATTCGTAACAAGGCTTCTGAATGAAGCATAATGACAAACTTGACTAAAACCAGTGTAATGTGTTTGAATTTGAGACAAATGGCAAGTTAGATTTCATAATTAATTTCCTTATCCCCAAGAGTAGCAGATTTTTTTAAATCCAGTATTGCCAAATTAGTGTTGATAGATTTTTGGTTTTGATAGATTATGTTAAACAGGGTAAATAAACTTGCCTTTGTATTGTGTATACCATGTGCTGAATTTTGTTCTCTTAAATCAGTTATCTCTAAGATTATGTTCAAACTCTACTTGTCCTCTTCTAAAGCATAATGAACACTTTAGTCATGTCAGTTAATCTGTAGTATCTTTGTGAGTTTTTAACTTTGCTAAACTCTGTCTTTTGCCAACTGCAGCACCATCTTTTCAGGTAGAGAGATGTTATTTTAATTCTCATAGATTATTGTGTGAATCAGCTTGTTTAAAGCAACTGGCATAAAGAATGGAGTACACCCTTAGCATGACCAGCTGCTGAAACTTTGTGTAACAATATTTCGTATAGAACATCTGCTTGGTATATACTTTCAGGTCATATTACTCAACATGAAGATACCAAGATACAATCTTGTATTTCTTAAGCTGTCTTCAAATTATTAGTCAATAGACTTAAGTACTGCTGTTATCCTGCATGGCAAGTTCTGCCTCGTTACTTTTCCCATTTCCGTAAATAGCACAAAAGGAAATTAAAACAAATTAAGGGATAACTTTAAAATATATCAATTTGTGTGTAATAAATGTTGCATGGACACTCACATTCAAAAATTAAGTTACTTTTGTTCAATTTAGTTTAGTTCATCAGATCTGTGACAGTGAGGAATCCCAAAGAATGAATGGTTGCTTACAGTAAAGGTTGTTTTTTTTTATTATTCTTTTTATTTGAGATGTGATCTCCAAATCTTTTCAGTAATCAGCCTTCCTTACTACTGAGAGACAGTTATGCTCTTCTGTTTCTGTCTCTGGAAAGGGGACACAGTGACACCAAGGGCATAAGTACAGTCTGAATATACACTCTTGGCCAAAAGAACCCAAATTCAGGTGCATGAGGACCCAGGAATTTTGAGACTGTAACTGATACATATTTTGAAGAATCAGATATCATTAGGTAAGTAGCTGTTGTTTATTACCAAAAGAATCCATGGCTCCAGCAGCAGTTCTTTATTGCTGCCAATTTTTGATGCAGTGTTTACTCTTATTTTTTTGTAATTTACGAATTTCTTGTTTCATTTCTGCTTTGAAAGGTGGTACAAATCAAAGAGAATGAAGGAGTTGCAGTGCCATCAAGTGCAAGCAGTAAACCTGAAAGGACAGAGAAGACATTTCTCATTAAAACTTACTTTTTTTTCTTCCTAGTAAAACTTTGTAATCGTTACCGCATCAGCAATGCTTTATGAAAGTTGATAATCACCCTTAGTCCTGTATTTTGTGTAACTGCAAGAAAAAGGCTGGCAATCAAAAGTCAAAATGTAATTTCTGTGCATGTAACAATAGCAATAAATTACTATACTTGCTATATATGTATAAAATTAGAAGTTGTCAACTCTCATTTTGAGGGTACAGGGTGAAACAAGAACTGTGATTCCAGTGCAAGTAAGTGCTCTCTTTTAGAGTAACCTATGCATGGTTTAGATTTAGCACTAATTTGTGATAGAATGTGATACCTACTATTAGATCCTGATGTTTCTTCCAGTGTGTATTTCTTTGAAACAGCTGAAATGCTCTGTCAGTTGCTGAAAGTTAACTCAGCAGGGTAAATGGAGAGTGGTGTAGAGTTTACAGCCTCTGAGTTTACTGAGACTATGCTGAGATCATTTGTTCTTCTAGATTTTTCTGTGGGTTTCCTTCCCCTTGCTTTATTTTTTAACTCTCCTTCCTTCTTCCTCCTTTCCCCCACCCCCGGGCCTAATGGCTAGGTCGTATTGAAACTATAATTCTTAGTGCCTTTATTCCCTGTAGCCTCTAGTATATCCATTCTCTTGTTCTTCTTGTTTCATTGATGGCAATTTCCCTCTCTCTGCTCTTAGAGATTGATTTTCAGACTTTGAAATCAATGTTCTTTTAAACAGCTGTTCAGTCCTGGATTTTCTAGGTATAAATGGTCATTCATTGCATGTGTATATACAAGCATATATATATATATATATATATATATATATACACACACAAATATGGGATTCAGTCTCTTATTTTCTTAAAGCTACTCATAGTTTTGTCATTTTTAGTGCATATAGTAATTCCTTAAGAGCATCCAAAGGATGACAGACATTATCTTGTATATACTCCCTGCACATGTCCAAATGTAGGTATTACTTGGGATGGGTTAAAAGCACAAGCAAATAATGAAACATTAACATAGTAAATACCTACTTCACTTTGGTAGATAAATTCTTGGCTTAAAACTTGGTAGTCCTGAAGTCCACCTCATTCTCTGTCAAAGGTTACTTCTCTCACAGAGCTTGCAGAAAGGAAGGACTTCTTGTGCCTCAGACATGATGCAAAACCTCGTGTATGTGGGCACAGTTATGATGTGCAGTTGTGTAGTGAAAATGCTGGCTTAACCAGTCTTCTTGTTTCCACTGGATCATGCCAAACTGTATCACCACATTATGAACTATGTAAAGGAATTAATCTGATTGAAACTCTTTCCCCATGTTATTTTTCAGCCTGCTAATTCACTGTGGAGCCACAAGAGCAACTGGGTTGGTGCAACTGTTAACAGTGTGAGGGCAGGATGATATAGCAAGAGTGGAACTGCTTAGGAAACATCCCATCATTGCCTAAAACTCGGATCACCCGTGAAGCTGACAGGCTAGACTAACTGATGTCATTGTGTGTGCTTTTGTCTGTTGACTTCAAGGATAGTGGTAAATTCTGGCAGGAGTACAGGAGGAACTGCTGAGAATGGTCATATGCTAAATTATTGCAACAAAATTTGTCAATTTTGGGCAGTCAGTTAGGTTTCAAGGAAAGGCTTACTGAATAATATATGTGAACTGCACCAACCAAAGGAGCAGTAGACGTTAGAGGGTTCTTTTTAAAATGCAAACTGATTAAAGGACCCAGAGGTCAGTGCTTTTGTAAGGTTAAAACTTGTTACAGTGGTACAGCTAAGGAAGTGGATAAAATGGTAAGTAAGAGTTTGATGAAACAGAAGGATAGATGCATCTTGACAAAATACAGTTTAAGAAGGAAAGTTAAAGGAAAAATGTTCTTTACAAGTTATGGATCTTGCTCTCCTAGATTTCAGTAGCTGGAATTCCTGTTAGCACTGCCAGTGGCAAGTTTTATTCAGACTGGAAGGCTGGGGTGAGTGAAGAGGTTCCTATATATCAGACACAACAGAATGCACCTGAGAATACATTTATTTAAAAGAAAAAATACAGCTATTCCAAATAAAATTTAATTAATAATTTGGAAATTTGAATTAATAATCTAGTCCTAGAAAATGTCATGGTTTTCTTCTAGTAACTAGGTCTACTGGATCTGCAGCACTCCCATCTCTCAAGGCCTATTTTAACCTGGATAATGGGGCAAACCCCTTTTGCTCGGCATCATCCTCAAAAATGCACATGTGGCTGACTGAAACATGCTGTGCATGGTGATGTTGCTTACAAGTATTCAATATATGTTGCTGATGGTACGAGTTTTGCCATTGCTACCAGCTATGATCTTGTCTCTGATGTTCTGCCATTTGGTTAGTTTTATTTAATAACTCCTTCCTTTGCTACAGCATTGGACAGGTCCCTGGAGTGCCTCCACTCCTTCATTTGGTTTGATATTCCAGTAAAAGATAAGACCGGTCATGCCTTCCAGAGAAATAGAGGATTTCAGCAGAGAAGATGCAGAAGTATGGGACATAATGTTGCGGTGATGGGTATGTGTCCCCAGATGTGTGAATTCTCTGTCTTCTGAACAGTGGAAATGGCACCTACATGTTCTCACTCAAACAGGAAGACTAGGGTGTAGTAGAACTTACACAGGCTCATTATCAGTGTTGCAGTGCTGTGTAAGAGCTGTGAAGATGTCTGTACATCTTCACTTCAAGTTGAGTATTTATTGTTTGTGCTGAGATGAACTTGGGCTTTTATCCCTGTGACAGGTTTGCCTAGACAAAGAGTGCCTGTGTGGGAATGATATTTATGACAAAGTAACATCAGCTTGTGCCACATAAGTCATGTATGGACAAGCTGTGCATGTCTGAAAACGCGTTGCCTCCTCTATTGCATTGTTTTTATTATATTGCAAACAGAACAATAATGTAAAATTTCGTAAGCCTCATAAATTGAGCAATTTAATACATGCTATATAACTGAGACTACGCATGGACTGCAACTGTGCAAGCTGGTTCATATTATATTCTCCCAGTGCATATACAGTGTTCCTTTTCAAGATGCATCTAAATTCTTATTATTGCATGAAGAAATTGGCTTATCTGCACTTCCATGCAATACAGTGAATCAGAGGGGTATGTATTTATTATATTAAC